ACGTTACCCTAATTATCTACAAGTTTATACAGATGCAGCAAAAACAAGTAACCGAACGTCTATAGCTATGTATGATCCCCAAAAGAACCAGAAATTTTCATTATCAATACCAGTTGATTTCAGTATTTTCTGCGCCAAACTATACTCTATCCTTAACGCCATAATATACAGCGAAAACACATACATCAACCAAAAAAATAGTTATTCTGACAGACTCAGCAACTGCATGTAAACACCTAAAATTAATCTATCAAAATAAAGCACTGACACACATTTCCTTTAAAATCATATCTCTAATATACAACGCCAGCAACAATTACTTTTTCCAGTGAGTGCCAGGACACGTAGAAATATCAAAAAATGGAATGACAGACAAAACGGGAAATCAAAACCAACTACATCGAATAAATGGTAAGGTTCCTTTACTGGATTTGATAAATATGGGGGGGGGGATAATGAAAGACTGGCAGCATTTCTACGACTGGGAATGTGCCTCGAAGGGTAAGGACCATCATTCAGTTCAACAGAAGATAGCACAGCTTCTATTGTTTGCGACTCTTAAATCTCATCTCGACCGTACCAGCTTAAAGCTGACCAGGCTTAGGATAAATCATAGTAGAACTAATAAATATCTACATCGAATGGGTATAGCTAAGAGTGGTCACTGCCCAACAGCCCATGCTTGGAGGATCCAAGATACATTGCCTTCAAGTGCAAAAGATTCGAGAAGCGAAGAAGAATTAGTTTAGGATCACAAATTACAGATGATGGAGCTAACTTTCTTCGGTCGATGAATAAAGATAACGCCCGTGACTTGATAAAGTTTTTGAATGACTTAAAAGCAGTCATATAATAAAAGTCGCCTCTTATTCTCATTTAATTGTTATAAAACTACTGTCACATCAGTTTTTAACTATTAGTCTTTCTAGTTTAAGTAGTATATAAGTTACATTCAGTGATCATCTATCTATAAATAATTAATAAATATCCAGTGTAATTTCATCTTACTATGACAATTAAAATATTTTACTGGCAAAATAGGACTTGATTTTACACGTCGTGAAGCCAAAAAAGAACAACAAAAAAATGTAATATTGCCAAACCATTCATAATTTTAAATACAGGAATATTTGAAGAGACAGCACTAATTGTAGGCCATAGGCAACTAACCATGGCGCATTCAGGGAGGCTCCATGACGGCCAGTAAACCAAGCGCTCCCCCCTCCTCCATCCCTCGGCCTGCATTAATTACTAGGTTCACTGCCTGCTAATTTACATATCGTTAGTGCCCCCGCCGCCGATCCCCGGCTATTCACAGGTGTCGGTTTCCATTCATCACTAACACCCCCTAGCGATTCGATCCCGATCCGACTAGTCTGCTAGGAGGATATGTTCCCTGCCACCTTCATGTCTAGTCTCCTTAAAGCGATATTCTTCCTGGAATTCTATCAATAATTGGCAACATTCTACACTCCAAAATTTTCTTATTACCTAACATGCTCACGGCTCCCGAGGTATTTTTTTGTGGTCCATGTTGTTCATAAATAAAATGAAAACAATCATGGACAATCATTTAATAATATTAACATTTATCAACCTAAATTCACTTAATTATATAAAACATTATAATTAATTCATCCCTGACTTCTCAATACATTATATAGTTCCAAGAAAATTTGTATTATTGATAAAATCCGTATGAACTTTAAATAGACCATGTTTGAATTGAGGTATACCCACAATGGTTAAACGAACCAAGTTAAAATAAATCTGGTGCATGCACGCATCACAAAACCTTCTCTTACCACTTTACCTACCACACAATCACTAATTACTTACCTTGAATAGAAATAGACACTTTCATGTGTAGGGAAGGGATAGTAAAAATTATAGACGATGTAACATCTTCATTTAAAACAATTAATTACCATACACTTTCTGGATTATGAAAAGGATACTCCAAAGTATGTGTACTTTCTTATGTACTTTTCACATGTTTTCCACCAATATAAGCCCTCAAGTTCCTTCATCTTGGTAGTTTTGTGGAACACTAAAACTTTAAACTTAACTGGGTTTAGGGTTAAAGAGTTGTCCCTACAGTATTCAGTATATTGGACATTCTTTGCACTCAATGACAGGAATTACTAAGGAGGACGGTATCATCTGTTAGAAAAGCATAGTGTAACTAACGCACCTCGAAATTGTGGTTGATAACAATACCAATAATTCCTCTGTCATGGAAATATTGAGATATCGGTCACGGATATCATAGATAATATCCAACACAAAGAGGATAAATAGTATAAGACTAGATTTTTTCTAAAAGTCCACGCTTTAATTTTATTGGCATTGATAAAGGATTATACAATTTTTTTTAGTAGTATAACTATTTTTCCTCCCGTTCCTAGGAAAAACAGTCACTGCAAATTTATGAGTGAAGATCTGTGTGAAAATTTGGTCAAAGCAAATGCTTCTTTCTGCCGGTATTAACTTATCAGATTCGCTCACATCATAATCCTATTCCTCAGAGTACTATCAAATGATTCTTCTAGATTATTAAGAAAATATATGCCTTTGTAGTTGTTTTATCACGCCTCTTGTATCTATTTTGAAAATAATTCCTAATTGATTCCAGCAATAAGCTGTTCTGCTTATTTTTGTGTAAGTCTTAAAATGATTTTACTTCTCCTACATTCCTAGCCATTGGTGTTTAGATTGCGAAATGGAATTCACGGTTATCTTAGTAAGCATCAAACCTTATTCAAATGACTTCTGCTTATTCTGCTTAATTAAATTACTGCTTGCTCATATCAAGTTGTCATCTTTTGAATCGAAATAAATTCATTCAAAGCTAGAAAGTGTTTTCACAAATTAGGTTATTTTATTGACTTCATCCTAAGCTGAATATCTATTGGTAACTAAACATCTATTGGCGGAATCAAAGACAAAAATTCTAGGACAGTTCTTCGGCTTGTCTCAGAGCACTTTTTATGAAAATTTGTCTTCATTTGTTTATTACACATAATCAATGATTAGGAAAAGTAAAGCAGTGGTTTAGGAGGGAGCTTTTTGAGAAATAGAGTACAACAGTTACGACATTAAAACATTATTTTCCTCTTGAATGTGTACGAGCTGTAACTGACTAGCATACTTCATTAAATAAATACAGCTAATCTTCTTTTAAATAAACTCTAAAGAGGATAAATAGAATTTTTATTTAAAAGCGAGATAAGGCCCTGCTTGAAGGCGGCTGGATCTGAATAGATAGGGGCGGAGGGCACCTGACCCAGGAGATAAATGCTCCAGTCCTTGCTCCTCCTGGAAGTGATGGATTAGGAATTCCTCCAGTAATAAGGCCCCAGAGCCCGAGAATTCCCTTTTTCAGTTCCTTGTACTCACCAGTTCCTCCTTTCAGTTCCTATACAAGCAATCAACGTCTGCAATCTTCTCGAAAGTTTGTATATTCTCATAAATTCAATCAGTCAACGTAAAGCAATAATTTAAAAAAAAAAATGATAATTGTAAAAATTCAACTTGATTTAATTACAATGTTAGGGAAATTTGTAAATCTTTTTTCGTTTTGTTTTTCTTACTCCCTTCTTCGCCTTTTAGGCTATTGAACAGGCGGGATTTAAAGATAGGGAGGGTATTGGATTAACAGATGTAGGAAGGGATGGAGTTCCATAGGGATGAGGATCGGATAATGAACGATCGGTCGAAATCAGTGGTTCAGTGGGCCCTTGTGTATAAATCTGAAGACCGGGAACGAGTATTGCGGGAACGAACAGAGGATTTGAATTGAAGGAGCTGAGAGATGTATGAAGGTCGGCGGGATTGAATGACTTGAAAGAGGGAGGATGCTAGAAAGTCTTCTAGGAGTGTTTAAATTTTTAATAATCGGTCCATATTCTCGAAAGATAGTTCCGATTGCTTCTGGAGATTTTTTTTTATCTCCTTCAGTTCGTCTAAACCCTGAAGTTTGAACTTCAATTCTTTAACTTCTTCAGCCAGCGTCCTTAGTAGGTCTATCAGAGTACTAGGCTCAGAGGCTGGCAATGTAGTGATCCTGATTCTTCACAATCAGTGCATTTCCATTTTTTACTGATTTCTTTTAGGCCTTCTAAGTGTGTAAAATCTATTTTCATGCATTTAGCATATAAGATATTTTGCCATGTGATACAAGATAATTTAGTTCTGTCTACTGTTTTTCCACATAATTTGCAATTAATCATAAAAAAAAAAATAAAATAAGTGTCACAATTGCTTTAATATGATGAGAGAAGACGAAAATAATAACAATAACAAAGGCAAATTTATTTATTTTTAAGTAAATTCAAACAATAAAAAATAAAATGAATATACCATTTTTTATTAGTTCCTATCATGAAAATAGGAACGTTATAATCAAACTAAAAAAATCAAGTTCTTCAATGAAGGAACATAATGATGGCATACTATTAAACAATATGATAACTCATGTCAAATCCCAACATTATAGCTGAGACAAACAAAATTAAAATATATATCTATTTAAATAGTAAGAAATAACCTAAATTTACTGGTAAGTATTCATACTACTATTGAGTAGAAATGAGTAAAATTAATTGCTCCAAATAATTTTTAAATAAAAATAAAAAATTAAGACAATCCCAAATCAAAAAATAAAAACTCTAGTTGAATTAATGTAACAAATGAAGTTGTTAGGAAATTAGTTTAAGGAATATTTTTTATTCTTAGATCTCTCTTTATATTCAGAGAAATTGTGCATTGACAAGTAAAATTTTTTAAAGTTGTTTTTGAAGAACAAAAAGAATAACACTTATTTAAAAAGTTGTATACTCAGTCGACCCCCAAACTATATTCTCAAATATGAACTTCAGTACATGGGATGTCTATTTCCATTCTCAACAACTCCTCTTATAATTTTCATACTTTTAAATTTAAATTTTATTATTTTTTTAAAAATATATCATCCATTGAACATGTTTTACCTGTTGCAGGCTGTTGGGGATCACAATGACACCCTCCCTGAAGTATCATCGCAGGAAGAGCCTGACCCACTCACCACACTCTCTCTCCTACTTATTGGTAAGCAGGCATATACATTTTATTAGAAACAATATGTCTACTCCTATAAAATACTACCATATAAATAAATATTCTTTTTGCAACAAAAATGAGGATTCTTCACCTATTAATGAGTTGAAATTTTATATTTTTATGAGTTGAAATATGTATGTTTCAATAATTCCAAGGATTTTACCAAATACATTTTTGAGCTATTCCATTTGTATAATTTTGTGTTTTTTGAATTTCCTCTCTTCTAAAATTTCTCAGAGCCATCCATTATTGTACGGAGTACGCTCTGTGGCTGCATTTTAATATTTCTACAAGGGATACTTTTTATAATCCCTAAATTATTATGTGAACAATTATTATCCATATTTATAATAATTATAACCACAGAATGGATATATACAATTCCTGGAATGATGATGAAAAAAATCCTCGCAAAGAGAGTCTGGCAGCTGGCAGACCAAAATTTAGAACATTGAATTGGATGTTGAGTGATATCAGAAAAGTAGGTAAAAATGACTACATGACAACAGTCAATGACAGAAACTCATAGTAGTTGGTGTTTCAGGAACCCAAGAGTCACCTGAGGATTGTAGAATTACACTATTGTTAATAATATTAAGAAGAACTTGTTAGGTATTATTGTACTCACATTTCATTTGCTAATCTTTTCCATTGTTTCAATCACATCACAAATCCTTGGACTTCTTGAATATAAAATAAATTGTATGATTTGGATTTTTTTAAACAATAAATTAAATTATTTTATTTTTTTTAAATAAAAATAAAACAGACTATATAATTTCATTTTTTTAAATTTCATCTCCTAAACAATTGTATGAACTTAATTAAATTTAAATTTTATAAATACTATGTCATTTCTTTATTTGGCTTGGATCAATTTTATTAAATTATATCATGATATCATTGCCAATCAATAACTCTTTGTATTTATTTCAGGTATTTTCTTGTCACTGCTCATTTTCCTCTCGATAGCGGGCAACATTTTGGTGTGCGTAGCAATCTACACCGACAGAGGCTTGAGGAAAATTGGTAACCTCTTCTTGGCCTCTTTGGCAATAGCAGATCTCTTCGTTGCAGCATTGGTTATGACCTTTGCTGTTGTCAACGACCTCCTCGGCTACTGGCTTTTTGGCCCTCAGTTTTGTGACACCTGGATAGCATTTGATGTCATGTGTTCTACAGCTTCCATTTTGAATCTCTGTGCAATCTCTCTAGACAGATATATCCATATAAAGGATCCATTAAGGTAATTAATGAAACCTTTTAAATTTTAAATATATTTTATTTTTATATTATAATACCATGTATTTTATTTTTCATTAATACATTAATAAATAATACTTTATATTTATCATAATATTTAACATTTAACATTTATAAGTTTACTTTATCTATTTAAGTCATTGGTGTTTTCAATAATTAAAATGTATCAATTTTTCTTCATATATTGAACTTAAGTTATAATAAACAATACTATATTATCACAGATTAAATAAGAAAAAAATATTATTAAATACGCAATTTAACCCCATAGTATGACGACACTTATGAGGAGGATAAAATATACTGTATTAATGGTTTAATGAAAAATAGACCATATGGCAAGGTTTCTGAAAATGAAAGATTAACCCGAAATATTGTGCAAACCAAAAATGAAATATTAGTAAAGCCACTTTTATCTTCATATAACTATACAATTATATTTTACAATACTACTGTACTAAATTATACAATCATAGTAACTGCTGATCTTTATCGAGAATATTTATTTATTTATTTATTTGAGTGTTTCGACCATTGGAGTCATTTACACTAAAGTCTCTTTAGTCACTTGAAGTTCTTTTTTTAAATTTTATTATAAATGTCGATAGTTTTTAAGAATTTAATGTCGTGAAGTCATGTCTAGGTCCTGTCTCCATATTTGTTCTGGGTCTTTAGAAAATCTGTAAGAGTTCTGAGCCATACACTTTGTTAGTGTATTCTAACAGTACTTTTGTTGCAGTTCTTTTGATGTTGGCAGTTCTTCATTCTTCATCAGGTATCCATGGGTAAGTCAACAATGGCCAATCCTGAGGCGGGTAACAAATACCTCTTCTCTCCATGATAGCTGTAGACTTTTTCTTTGGATGTTCAACATTTGTTCGATTTTCCAAATTTATTTTCTCTCATGCCAAACCATTCATTTTGCCACTCCAGCCATCCTTTTTCACTGATTCGAGATTTTAGATTTTTGGATTACTTATTGAAAATACTTGATCATTTTTTATTGCTCGTTTTGCCTGTGTGTCCGCATTTTCATTTCCAGGAATTCCTCTGTGACCAGGTATCCATAAAAACAATACTCCACAACCAGCGTCTTTCAATGTTTTTAATTTTATTTTTATTTCTGTGATTAGAAGGTGTGTAGAGATTATAAGGCAGATTTAAAATCTGAAAATATGACCAAGCGAGAGTAATTTGGAGTTATATTGCGGTTGATTCCTAGAAGTTCTGCAGTGAACACTGAGGAGAAGGGTTGCAGAGAAATTAAGTGGGTCTGATTGGCAGATATAACAGCAGTGCCTACTCCTTTATCAGTTTTTAAACTGTCTGTGTAGATAAAGGTCCAATCACGGTGAATGGCTTTAAAATTGTGGAATTTTTGTGCTATTTCTATTGAGAGTAGATGACAGCTTATATAGTTATTAATTACTGCTGGAATAGGTAGCAGCCATGGTTCTACAGCTGAAAAAATTTAGTTGAACATATCATCTAGAATAAAACAAGAAATTCCATTATTGTTTCAAATAAAACTAATTAATTCAAGATATCTCAGCCCTTTATTTCCACATTCAAATAAAATAAACTATTTTTAGCATTAAATATCTTAATCTTTAATCTTATTTTTTATCAGACAAATGAACATTTTTTTTTAAATCATACAGAATGGTTTTTTTCTATTCTTAATGAACCAGGTTTTTTTCTTGATTCAACCATATAACATAATGCAAATAAATATTGGACAAATGGAAGAATCCAAGAATAACAACTTAAAGAACGCAACGCAAAGGTGGGCTTCAGAAAAGCTAATTCTGTGCCAAGAAAATCTTTAATTTGAGATCAATAATCTGCTCCAGAATGCTGAGTGGCAAAAATATAGTAATTTCTTTGATTGATTTCAAAAAGGCCTTTGATTCAATGGACAAATTGACCTTAGATAGGATTTGATCATTAGGCAATTTGGAGTCAAAACCAAGCTAGGAAATATTATCACAGAAACTTTAAGGGCACAATTTCTAATGTGAGGCTTATGAAAGAAATGTCTCAACCATTTGAAATCAAAACAGATCTGCAACAGGATGATGGATTATTGCCGACACTATTCAACTGTGTCCTGGAGAGTATTGTGAGAATTTCTAATTCTGAACTTGAAAATCGACCAATATGCTCTAACCACCCAAGAAATATAAATCAGGAAGAAAATTGAATGGACTCAAAGTGCTATATGGCTTTCACTGATGATTTTTAAGAGATAATTTCAGAAACTTAGCAGCCATACAGATCAGCTTCTAAGAAAGGATCGCTGGCAAAACAGAGCTTAGGATTTCAAAAGAGAAGACCAAGTTTGTGATGAATGACAAGCATGGACTGAAATTCCTTGAAACAGAAATTGGCTGGATTGAAATTGGTAAAAATACCTACCTAGGTGAAACCATACAAGAGAAAAGACTGCTGTGGGAGATTAAATCTCAAAAATGGAAAGAGCTTAAGGCTAGAAAAATTTATAAAAGAAAATGCATCTCCCGGCCTGCCAAAATAAAACATTACAACACCTAAGATTGAAAGGCTTGAGATACTAAAAAGAAGAATACTATAAAAATCATGGGCCTGATCCAGGTTAAAACTGATTGAAATCTTTGGAACAATGATGAAATCTACAAAAAGTGGAGAAAACGAGAAAGAGGAGCTTATCATTTCTCGGGCACATGCACAGAATATACAAAACCAGATTAACCAAAGGATATTCCTGTGGAACAAGAAGACAATGAGGTAATGGATTAAGGAGTTCATAAATATAGAAAGGTCTAATATCCAGGAGGCTCAGATGTTTAAATAGGGATACTTTTCACTCTATGATTAAAGGTGTGGAAGGGTTTCAAGTTGAAAGAGCTGTGTGGACTGGAAGTGTCTGGGCAGATAAACAGAAGCAGTAGCACAGTATATTTATGAAGGAAAACTGGAGGAAGAGTAAACTTTATACAAAGAAGAAATTAAATTTCAGTGTGATACTACGAGGTCAATTCTCAATTTAAAAGAAAAGAAAAGAATAATGTCTGAAATTCTGTCAAAAGAAATGTCATCAGATATGACAAAAACTTATATCTTCTTCCAACTTGTTCAATTAACTAATAATAAATATCTAACTACACTGAAGAACTGTTTCCTCAAATTCTTATTTTGTAAAAGTTTGTTTTTACTTATTTATGAATGCTGGTTCTAATGAATATTGATTTTAACTTTAATTTTCTCTTTGTTGTATGATTTGTATGTATTGGTTAAGTGCTTTGTTTTAATGTTTTAGGTATAGCAGATGGGTGACCAAAAGAGTAGCCATATTCTCAATTGCAGGTATTTGGCTCCTAGCAGCATTAATTTCTTTTGTACCGATCTCATTGGGCCTCCATCGACCACCACTGCCACTAGTTTACCACGCTGGAGATTTGGAGTATCCAACTTGTGCCCTAGATCTGACACCTACTTATGCAATTGTGTCATCTTGTATCAGTTTCTATGTGCCCTGTATTGTGATGTTGGGTATTTATGCACGCCTATACTGTTATGCTCAGAAACATGTTAAAAGCATTAAAGCTGTTACAAGACCATTGACCTCACCCTCTATTCCAGCAGTTCATCCTTCTTCCTCTCCTTACCATGTGTCTGATCACAAAGCTGCCATTACAGTCGGTGTTATTATGGGTACCTTCTTACTATGCTGGGTTCCTTTCTTTTGTGTAAATATTGTAGCAGCATTTTGCAAAACATGCATTCCTGGAATGGCCTTCAAGATCCTCACATGGCTGGGATATTCCAATTCAGCATTCAATCCAATTATTTACTCTATATTCAATACTGAATTCCGTGAAGCTTTTAGAAGAATACTCACTGCACATTACCCTCCATGTTGTTGCAAAGGTTATTCATCAGTCACCATAACTCTTGGCGAAACAAAACCCAGAATCGGAGATCAGATGAAACAAAATGGGCGCAGAGATTTTTCCCCCCGATCGTCAGTAGGCTCCTTACGTCAAATAAGAGTAAACTCAACAGATAAGGTAATGAATGAAGAGATATCTGCAATATGACTGAGATAAAAAATAAAAAAATAATGTTGTACTCAAACATTACAAATGATAATGAGTGCCATAACAATCAGAGAAAAATATTTGTTCCCTGTTAAAACATTGAGTGATCTCAATAACATTTCATTATTTTATCACAAGAATCTCGGCCTAGTGCTTACACTAGACATAAAATTCTCATTATTTCTAATTAAATGAAGACATACTAACTCATAGGAATACTCCTTACTTGATTATATTCGTCTTTCAAGATAATATCATAAATTACTTCCAAGCAATAAACTAAAAGAGAAACGTTATAGCAATGGAAAGGTTAGATTATGTCATTTGCACTATAATGTTTTTCAAAATTTATAAACATGGCAGTATGATTCCTAACAAGGGTTAATTTAATTTTTATGAATACGTAAATTTTTCTAAACTAATTAAACATTTTGTTAATTATAAATAATATAAATATAAGTGATTGCTGATAAAAGACAAAATCAAATTATACTTATACTTAAATTATATTTATTACAAATTTATATTTTATAAAAAATTAAATATTAGTATTTTAATTCAACTGAATAAATAAGTTACCAAAGATTTTAAGATAAGCTGAAAATGATAGATCTGAAAATTTTATTCCAAGGAAAGAGCTTTGGGCTAATCATGAGAAAAAAAACTGTATAAATACTATATCTAGTCCAAAAATCCAAAGACTAATTTTAAATTACAATTAGAACCATTAATTTAATATCACACCCATTCAATTTTAATCTTAAAAAAATTTGTACTATGTAATCATTTCTCAACACAAGTTAAGATCTTTGATATCTAATAAATGTTCTGAAGAAAATATTTTTCATTTTAAAAAGTATAAACAGTAGCTTCTCCACTATCCAGGGTTGCATAGAATTAAGAAATACTTTAATGATAAAATTTATTCAATAGAAAATTTAATTAAGGTGGTCATTTAAAATTTATGTGTAAAATTTGGAAACCAAAGTAAGCTATGATTTATTATGTTTCACTGTTCAGTGCTGGTAATTCTCTTGTAAATCACAAACACACCAGCTTATTGCTAAGTATCCTTATATTTTTTAGTGTTATCTTATTGTTATATTATCTACAACCATTTCTGACACATCATAGATCAAAGTAGCTTCTATGTGTCATCATCATTCATAATTGGCACAATTAATGAAGATTATTTATTTTTATAGTCCTAATTAATTTTAGAGGCTCTTTAATTCCGTTCTCTCCTTAATGACTACATGGATTAGAAATGAGCCCTGCTATAATAATTAAGGTACTTCCAGTTCCAATGGCTAGGCCAAGAAACAGGATAAGTCAGCACAGTTTTGTGACACGTTTAGTAGAAGAAAATAGACCGAGATGTAGAACAAGGCAGTGGTCTCATGTTCCCAATCAGCACTCGTGAACTAACTCAGAAACTTACTGGTTTTTTCCTGCACTACATTGTGTAGCATCTCAATGTATGTTAGGCTTTAACATTGGTACAATAACTATGCAGAAAGAAAAAAATCAGATCTGAACTATTATTTATCATATACTCTACAGATCAAACTTGAACTTGAATATATTTTGTATTAATAGAGAATTTATAAAATTATGAGTCTTACGATAGAACTTCAACCAAAATAAATCATAGAGAATGTTTTCTATAAGTTTTTTTGATTAATAGAATTATTTTTTCAATAGAATTAATTAGTTTTATTATTATCAGTGAATTATGTAAAAATAAAATATGAAATTTTTCAACTTTATAAGAATAATATAATCAAACTGTATATATATCTGTCTTTTGTAAATGTAGATAATGTTGTTTGTTTTTTTTTGTTTGTTTTTTTGCCTGTCTTTAGTTTTAGTTTCTAACTTAGCGTTCATTAAAATATCATTGGGACAAAACGCTTCTATATAGCAATATCACAATAAAATAGTTAGATATAATAACTTCTTAGATTTGTACATATAAATAGGATGATATATTATTATAAGATTTGTTGTAATTTTAAAAAAGTGTTACAGGCTATAAATCTTATTTTTAAATGAGTACAATGCCGTATAGCTTGATCTCAAGCACTGATAAAAGTTGTATATCAGTAGTGTAATATATATTAAATATTAGATACAAAAAAAGTTAAGAAAAGATAAATTGTTAAATAAATGTTTATATAAGATCTTTACTATCTAATGAATTACTTATATTTTCTAAATAAATAAAAAAATAACGTAAATACTAAGCCTATTTACCTATCATAGTTTTTTACAATTTATTTTGTATCACTTGTTGAATATACAAAAGAAATACCTATCCTACTTACCACTAACATTAGGATATGTGAACTATTCATTTATATTCACTTTGTTTGCTCTTTCCAAAAGTTATGAGCAACAATGAGATGTGTGTAGATATGTATAATGCTCATATAAGAACTGAGGTGGTCTAAAATATGTGTAAATATTTCAGAAAGAAATGTGAAAATATATTGTAATTATGAATAGGAAACTGTAAAGGGTATAAATAAAGAGAGAAATAAACGCGATTATGTAATTTCATTTCCCGTTTTTTTCTTATTGCTGTGAAAGTAAGAAAACAAATTTTATATCATTAGGTGTTGTTATTTATTGTGATAATTTTCTGAATCTTCACTTCAACATGTAAATAGCTCTACTAAATGTAATTTGTATAATACATGTTTCAATCTTGTACAATAAAATAATGAATAGATGGAATATAATTATTACTTTCCAAAACTGTCTTAATTTATTTTTATTGTGATGGCAACAATGACTTTACATAAGAAAAACTAGTAGGCATGTGCAAATGATTGGCAGAATATATTTAGTGAGGAACAGCAAAATAATATGGAAATAAGTAGACCTTATGTATTATGTGAGGAATCAATTAATATTGTTTTCCTTCGTTGAATAAAATATTTCATTTAACATAATACTTTAATACGTTGTCTTTCATAACGGTTTTTATATGAACGAAAGAGAACCAGTATGCAGAAGGGTGTGTGATGGCTCCTCTCTTTTCGAGAATGTTTAGAAATGCACTTTTATCTTCATTTTTGTCACAAATTTTGGTGACAAACACATTTAGCCAATGTTTAAAGAGAATTTTAGATTAAAAGGATGTATGAGGTTAGAGTATGAGGACTATTAGAGGATGTATTCAAATTATGCATTAATGCAGGAAGCCGCTATACTTTTTTGTATTTCATTGCTGATATTTTCATTTGGTTAACCATTCTAGTAATTTTAAGTTGTTATAATCTATAAAATTAAATATTCAATAATACAAGAGCCAATTTTTTTATTAGCTCATGAAGTCAGCATGTTCCCAACTATGTTATAATATAGTATATGTGTTGTGAGCAATATCTAATACAGTAGAACTTCTCTTAAACAGTCATCACTAGGGAATGATAATCCATTTGCTTATGAGAATTTTATTTTTAAAAAATGATCCTGATTAAAATCAAAAGCATTGTCAAAAATAAAGAATATATAGGAAGCTGAATTTCTAAAATGGAGTAATACAACAGATATCTTGAGGTGATATGTAGGTAATTAAAATATACTTTTTAATAAAGAGAAAAATTTACTTTTTCTTCATTCCAGTATACTGAGGAGATTCTTTGATTAATTAGATTGCAGATAATACAATTCGTGAAGCTCTGCTCTTTGAAATGTACCAGATTAATGGAAATATTTAACTAAGTAGCATAAGCTTAACTGGAGTAAGGTTTGCCTTAGGTATTTTCTTCAATCTGGTTAGAGATTCTCTTAGCAACTACTGTAGATTTGATAGCACTATGGTAAATGAACTTGTAGAGTATAAATAATCTACTTTAAGGGTAATCATTTTAATTAATAAATATTTTGAAAATATATTTTATTAAAAAACTTTACAACAAAAAAAGCATTAGAGAACTGAATCTTAACACTCTAATTTTATTATTACTTTGAACTGTCATATTGAAAGGGAATGAAAATATCAAAAACATGCAAATAAAAAAATGTATTATCATACAACATTAGTAGAAACAAAACTTAAAACTTTAAAACTAATTAATTATTTAATCAGTTCAGTAGAAAACAATTCTAGTACATATTATAATTATCAAACCCTTTGATAAAGATACAAATATCCTAGATTTTTTGGTATATTTTCTGAAAAAGCGACCTTCTCGTCATTGAAAATCACCCATTGTCCATCCTTCAGTACATGGCAAATATAATGTCCAACCATAGAAGATGGGCCCATATGAGAAATAACACCAATAAGCCTGTATGCTGAAACAAAAACAGATATCAACAATATTAAAAACATTTTTAAAATTTATTTTTGAAAATGAAATAATATTTAAAACTATAATTACATATCAAAGAAAATACTCTGCATTCAACTTAAACAAAAACAAAAACAAAAAAAATTAATTAATTATAATAACAAAAAAAAACTGTCATGTAAGTCAGTATAACTTCCCCATTATTTCAACCAACTTTTTTTTGTTTATTTAATGAAATTTACAACTGTAAACAAATACAACCAGTAAATATGAGCAAATTAGAAATAATGACATGAACAGACTTGAAGAGATACTACCCAGTGATAGCACTCCTTAAATAATTCTAGGTAAGAAGATCACGAGGCTATTTCCTTTTCAGATTATTAGGAATAAGAACAGGATTATCAGGAATCGAGGAAGAAGCAAGGGTGGAAACAAGTGGATTCGGATGGGACTGGAGTTTATCATGAAAGGATAGATATCTGGCTCGGGCTAAATCAGCGACATATGTTACATTAAGGTCTTTATGAATAGTTTTATCTGTAACAAAGTATGGAGCATTAAGGGTTTTATGAAGGATTTTGGATTGTAAGGATTTGATAAGATAAGAATTTGATGGTTTGGTGGAGGACCAAACCACAACAACTGCGTATGTTCATATAGGTCTTATTATAGTTATGTAGATAAGTCTTTTGTAATTAGTTGAAAGTTTTGAGTATTTGTCTAGTAAGTGTTGGAGCAGTCGGAAACATCTAGTAGTTTCTTGTCTTTTCAGTCTAAAATGAGGAGTCCAAGCAAGACATTTATCCAAGTGGTGTCCTAAGTGAAGGAATTTTCTCAACAGGAATAAGTGGAGTATTATTGAAGGATACTGTAGGACAAGAAGTCATAGGTTTATGACGGAGGGTAAAGGTAATTTGATGGAATTTATTGTAATTTATTTTTATTCTCCAACTTTTAAACCATTCTTCAAGGCTTGTGATATATGATTGAAGAGTTTGGGATGCAATTAAAGGGTCATAGCATATATACTGATAGCAAACATTTGTCATCGGCGTAAGCGGTAATGACAGTGTCAGGATGGGTTGGGATGTCAGCTGTATAAGCTGTGTAGAGGATGGGTCAATCAACTAAACCATTTTTTCACTAACCCTTAACTATCCTCCAACTTTGAGTCAAATCGAACAAGCAATTTTGAAATATAAGTGTATCAATGAAAATATGTTTGCATGCCCTTAAAAGCCAGATTAGTGGATGTAATTTGACAAAATTAATACCTACTTAATCATTTTTTTACCAATTCTAACTTTAATCCATCTTTGGGACAAATTAAATGAACCATTTTTGAAATATATATGTAGGAAGGAATATGTTTGCCCATACATTTGTAAAGATAGTAGATGAAATTTGATAGGGCACCTTTTTTTCACTAATTCCCAACTTTTAGCCAAACCAAGCTACTAGTTTTTGAAACGTAATCTAAGAAATACATTTGCTCTAGCAAAAGTGAAAGAATTGCTAAATTGATATGGAACCATCTAGGCACCAACCAAAACAATCGCTGAAAATTTCATCAAAAACAAATTAACGCTAGTAGATTGTACGCCCATTACATGGATTTTACTACAAATACGGAGCAAAGTTTAATTTTTTTCTCATTTGATCAATCCTGGCACACAGAGCTGCACTGGCACCCATCAATTGTATCCCAAACTCTCCAGACAAAAGCCTTAAATAATGGTGTAAAAACTAGAGGATTAAAATAAATCCCATCAAATCATCTTTACTCTTTGTCCTAAACAAAAGACTTTCTATCCTACAGTATCCTTTAATAATACTCCCACTCTAACTGGACAAATGTCTAATTTGTGATCCAAACATCAGACTGAAACAATAAGAAACCATTCAATGTTTTCAACTACTTCAGCACATACTAGAGAAACACTCAAGCTTCCAATAATTACAAAACATTCATATAAATGTCAATAGTAAGGCCTATTTCGACTCGATGAGTTGAGCTATGGGACTCCACTAAATCACCGAATTCCTCTCGTATCCATTCCATACAATCCAAATTTCTACGTAAAATCCTCAATGCTCCTTACTTTTTTACAAATAAAATCATCCATAACGGCCTTAATATTCCTTATGTTTCCGATTTGGTTCAATCCAGATACTTATCCTTTCATAATAAACTTCAGAGCTATCCGAACCCTCTAGTTTTTAACGTTATTTCCTCTTTGATTCCTGGTAACCCTCTGAGGCGTCTAAAAAGAAGGTCGCCCCATGATCTCCTAATGTAGACATATTAGAGTACTACCTACCAGTGGTTAGTTTCTCAACAAGTGATTTCATGTCATCATATTCATTTTAACACATTTACTAGTTGTATTGCAAATATCATGAATAAATGAACAAAAAAAAAATTATTTCTTGATGTCCAAAACATAAAATGCGAGTGGATCATATTCTGAGAAAACAATTTTTTTTAACTTCGCAGATACAAAGATTTCCTACCTAACTTGGTGAGGAAGTAAAAAGTTTTTGTATGAAAAAAGAAGGTATTAATAAAGTTATATACTAAATACCCATAAGCATAGAAATAGTAAATAAATACTAAAATGTTAAGCTGACTAAAAAATGTGTAATATAAATGATTAAGTATATGAGCAACTTTCCATTATATATTTAATTATTTAAATAACACACTTAAATATCTCGAAACTCAACAATGATTAGATGAATCAGTTACATACAGATATACCTCATAGCGTAACAAACTTCACATTAAGCAGAATATGATAACTATAAAATATGTAATTAACAATAGCATTTAACAATCAAATACAAATATTTTTAAAGGTAAAATAAATGGAAAAACATCATTGGTAGGAACTAAATTGTTTAGTTACAAAGTAAGTCAAAGTTAAATTTGGTTTGGCAACTGAGTTTTCATTAATACAAGAACGTAATAGTGTTTTAACCAGAGTTTGAAATTGATAATTATTTTTTACACAAAATAATGTAATAATTATAATATTTGATTTTTAATTTAAAAGTCATGCCCGATTTACAAATACAAATTTAAATCGATTTTTGATGTTTATTGATTTGATTAAAAATAATGATCACTCACTGAGTGATACAGTTTTATATAAATAATGATGATTAAATTGTGATAAAAATAATTTTGATTAAAAAATACAAATCATCTTTCACACAAATTAAATAAAATATTATTATGTATGTAAATACAAGGACACATTACATATATATATATATATATATATATATATAATTTTTTTTGTAAGCCCAAAATGATTTTCAGAAATAAAGATGTTCTAAAGCATTAGCTAACAGTTTTTTCCACCTACTTCTCGAGACTCAAAATATATCATATAGATTAAAAAAAATTTATATTTTTTATTTTAAAAAAGTATAACTCATGAATTATCATTATTGATAATTGTAAACATTTTGTTTAAAAATAAAGATCAGGATATGATTTTTATCACTTATGTTCAAAAATCAAAATTGCTCTTAATAAAAAAATTTTTAAAAATTCCAGACAAAAATTTTTTATTTTTTTTAATTATCAGTTTCTAACGCTGGTTTTAATAAACTTATAGCAGCAAAATGATGGATTTTATTCATAAAATATTTTCAACTTACTTGAGCTGCCATCTCTAAATGTTTCACCAGCAACAGGAGGATGTTCAACATCATCAACCTTATCTAGTTCGTCAGCGTGAGAAAATATCCAATCCCCAGCTCGTTCAACATTGTTTCCTAAATTATTATCAAGTGAACAGTTTTAGGATTAAAAAAATTAAATTTACAAATATAAGCAACTAACTTAAAAGATTTACCTGTAGCTTTTAAAGCTTTTGTGGCTTGGGCTCTTGTAAATCCCATACTTGTCAACATCATAAGACCTTCTTCGTCAGGTATGAATTCTAGGAATAATGATAAATGATTTATTTAGAAAAATTAGTCTTACAATGTAAGAAAATAAAAAGAAAACTTTGTTATTGAATAAAAAAAAAGTCATGCATATAATTACAACCAACTATTACATGAGTGGCCTTTTAAATCAAAGGACATCAGTCATTTTCAGAATTTTGAGAATAAGCCAATCTTTATTGAAAGTCTTCACTTCAACCGAATTGTTTTTTTGTTTTTTTTTCATAATTCAACTTAAATACTGATAATCAATTCTGTGGTGGATGTGGTATCAATATGATTTGAAAAGTTAGTCAAATTTATCTTTGAATATACAGATGTCCATTTTTAATGCAAAGGACTCCTAATAGTTGCATTTAAAGCTAACTCACCTTTGAACTCTCAAATTAACCTTAACTAAAATATTAACATATATTTTTAAAATTGATAATAGAAAATAAAAATGTTAATGCAACTTTTGTATTTAAATAAATTTTAATTAACCTCAAAGATACAAAATCAGATCGATTACAAAAATTGATCTGAAGTCAAAATCTTCATTTGCATTATCACATTCTTAAACATTATCTGGTTAAATACTCCTAATCCTAGGGTCCCAGAAGATAAGAATTTTCGCTTACATTTTTGTACCTTTCTAATATAATATTCTCCTTCCATTTTTTCCCAAAATGATTTTCTAATAACATTTCAACGTCGTGAAGTATTTTCTTCAGAAAGGGTATTTTCTTTTTTTTGATCAGTTAAGTTCTGCAGTTGTGCCTATAGATTGGCCTCTCTGCTTCACTATCAATGTTGTAACAAATTTACCTTTAATAACTTCATTTCTCTGTCTATTTTCTGAAAAATTACTCGCCTGTGTATTTTAAAACTTTAAAGTGGAGATAGGCTTCTCCTATAAATTAATATTTTTTATCAATATTATATGTTTCTAAACAGAGAAATTCTCCATTTGTTCATCTTTTCATTAGCTGTGATTCCTTTGGAAATTTTTCACCAGGGAACTCCAACAACTTTATAGAGGATCACTTTAGGGAACACTTTTACTTGTACTGTTTTTAAGAAGAGAAGAGCAATAAAGTATCATGGGAGGAGAGTAAGGTTCATGCACCTTGGAGAGATAGACACTGCTAAGAAGACTACACACAATAGTCTGCTTCAGCATCAGAAGACTACACACAGATTTATCAGGTTTGTCATTAGAGTCATCTAGTGATTCTCAAGGAAAACTCTAGCATCTTTCCTTGCCACTAAGCTTTGAAGAATTAAAATGTATTTTTTATCACAACTTTGTCGAAACAGAGTGATGAACAACAGGATCGATGGAAAACTTGAAAAGAAAATTAAGCATTGCAAGTAGGACTTCCAGTCTCATCTCACTTCAAAGTCCCAAATCTCTTGAACTATGCCGTCGCTAAAGTGTCAATTAAAATATTTATTAAAACTTAAATTAAATATTCTAAATATGTAACATAATGACCATTCATCAGTTCAAATTCTTCTTCTCAAACTTTATCAATTTTGAAATTTGGAAATCACCTTTTATAACAGGTTCAGCTCCTGGTACAACAAAGGGATCATTGAGGTCTTGATCCGCAATGTGCTCCATCAGCCAATTCACGGCCATTTCAATACCACCTCCTTTTGTAAAATAAGCAGCTTTCTTGGCAGCTTCTAAAGGAAAACCTTGTTCAACGAGGCCATTTATTACCTACAAATGTGAACACTTTAGTTAAATTATATAAAAAACTATCAATAATCCAAATTTATTGGCAATTTTAATAGAAGAAAGTAAAATGGTTTAAGTCACAAAACTATTTAACTAACATATAAATATAAAATCTTAATTCATATTTTCTTCTCTCCATTACATAGAAAAGTTTTTAGTGACTTTCATATTTTCTTTTATTTTAGTATTAGGAAAGTAGAAGATAACAGGAGCTCTCCAATTAGCTCTATAATTATCACTAATTATACAACTGTTCATTTAATTACATATGTGTTGAGCTCCTATGACCTCATATTCTCCAAGTACAGAATAGAGATTTACACCCTGGTGTCTTCATTTCAGTATTGAGCTCCTGTAACCTGCTACTCACCTAATATAAAATAAAAATTTTATATAAAAAATTTGTATGGAAAACGGGCGTGGTAGTTAGTTATTTCACCTAAGTGGCAGCAGTTATTTTTTGATCTAGACATTTTCTCCTTGAATACACTATATTAATTATTATATAATAAATAATATTATATTGCGATATAATTATAATTATTATAAAATAGAAAAGGAAACACAATATAACATACAATGAAAATATTAGAAATAAAAGGATCAAATTGATATTGCGCTTACATGAAGTTGAATATATATTATGGCTACAAATTAGCAATAAGAATAATTATAATTATATAATAATATTAATTGGCAATAGGACTTGATGTATAATACAGATTGTTAAGAAATTAAATATTTGTCCGAACTATGATTTTGTTCAGTTTATTTTATGTTGATGAAAAATAACACAATCTGAACTATAAAATACATGTAATTACAATCATACAATTTGAGCAACGACTAGTACAATTAAATGAACAGTTGTGTAATTTGTAAAATGGGAGATTGGTCCACCGTTGGGCAGACAGGGGGAATCCCCCTAGTACTCTTTAAAGTAAATTTTATAAATTTTTAAGGTTCTTATAAAACTAGGATATACTAGTTTTATTTGGAATTTGATCTAGATTGGGCGGGGTAGCCGAATGGGCTAAAGCGTGTGCACTGCACAACCGTTGTCTGGCAACCTGACATATGAATTAAAGATATAAAAATAAATAGCCACGAGTTCGCGTCCCGGTGCCGGGGGAGTCTTTTAAATCCCCGCCCACACTCCCTGGCCCGGGAAAATCCCGTATAGCCTTAACGGCGAGGAAAGGAAAAGAAAAAAAAAAAAAAATTGATCTAGATTATTACTTATTTCATAGGGAGAAAGAACTAAAAATATTGTTTACTTTAAATAATATTTTTAGACCTTTCTTACATTTTTAGAGTAAGAAAAATGCTTTAAAAGCACATTCATCCCATGTCTAGGGCTGAATATGGAAAGTTACAACAGTGATTCCAAACCTTGCTTTCACCTTTTTTTGAACCAATATATAGGTCTACAATTTATCAGAAGTTTAAATCTTATTAAAATTTCATACATTTCTAATTCTACATTTATATAGTACACATGTACCAAATTTCAAGGAAATTTGACAGTCAAATTTAGACTGCGTTGAATTGTTGTCAAGTAGTAGGACAACATGGATTTAATCCAAAGGAGTCCTCATTTTTATTTTTTTATTTATTCAGCTATCATTTTTCTTATGAGGATGTGTGCATCTTGTCAATTTCAGATTTAATCACTTTGGAACAACTCCTAAGCAATTAAAATAAATCCACACCAATGCTTAATATGTTTTACTGTTCCTGAAACTAGGGCTTATTTTTTATCATATATTCGTCCGCATAACGAAAATTCGTCATTATGCAAACAATCACCAATAGCCAAATGATAAAAATTTGACATTTATATATTACAGAAATTAATTGATTCTTGTCTGAGTAAATAATAAATAATTTTAATTCTAAATAAATAAAATTATTATTTTTACCAAACAGAGATAGAGAAATGCCATTTTGTGAATGGCTATGAAAAAAATTACCATATGAATATATATGTTAACATGAATTGTTCAGTTATTACTTGTTTTTGCAGTCTCAAGAATTTTTAGTTAATTACATTGCTTTACTTTAAACATAAATAAACTTATAAATATAAATATACATTAGTATTAATTTATTTGATTTTTTAACAACTTATTTGTTTTACTCATATCATTTATCTATTTATTGTACTTCTTTGCCTTTCTGCAACACTGGAACACCAGTGACGGCAACATTACAGGGCATTCATATCTTGCCTATAAAAATCTTCAATATATTCATCTCTCTTGTCCAGCAGTTCTCTAGAAAATGATCCTCTTCTTTCTAAATTATCATTTTAATGGCTGCACACGTATGCTATATTGCTGGCAATATATGCTAGGAGCCGACTATGTATGATACAACCAGAGGCCGGCGGTAGTATCTCAGGCATGTTGGCCCTGCCATCACCCACATGTTGTATAATCGGCCACTAAAGTGTTAAAATGAGCAGGGCCAACTGCAGTTTTCCACCCACACACCAAAGTACTGTTGTATAATTAGCTTTCATCAGCCACCAGCTAAGAGAAATCATACTCTAAGAGGACATAGAGACTGATTTGACCCTAAATGCCCCAAAGACAGTGCAGTCAAATATGATACACAGGTGTCTCCAAAACACTACAACGGGGACATAAAGGATCAATTTCCTTTCTTAGGTAATGTGGCTTACTACGGAAACTTCTAAATCTCCCAGCATTGTTCAATTTAAGTTAAAAATTCTGGTCTTCATAAACAAAACCATCCTCTCCAATAAAAAATAAAAATAAATAAAAGTACTATGAAGTGAAATTAAATGCTTCAGTTCTAATAATATTCGTAATTTCTCATAAATTATGTTCATCTAATAGTAACTGAAAAAATCAAGTCTTACAGCTTGATCAAGAACTGGTGGTGCTATTGGTCCAACCGGTTCAGGCAGCAGTTCTTCCCCTGGAGGGCGTTGGTGCCTACCTAACATCTTGAAATCAACTTCATTAGGCATATCAACTGATACATCCAATTTTATTGGAATCCAGTTATCATTTAAACAAAATTTCTTCAGATGTATCATTAAATAATCAGGAAATGTTGCTAAACGAGTCGTTCTAAAACATTTAAAAAGAAAAATATGTAAGAAATGAGTAAAATCCAATAAAATGAGGACAAATTAAAAAAAAAAACCTTACTTTTTAGCAGTTGTTTTATCTTGTATTGCTGTAGAGTAAAATTGTTCCACTAATTCAGTTTGCAGAAAAGAAGATAAACAGGCATTAAGATCAATGTGGGGCCTAGTAAAGTCTTTTGAGTCCCTAAAAAATATATTTAAATAAATTATGGTTAATGAAAGAAAAGTAAATTTTATTCTGGAACATTCATGGGACGTTAAACATACCACTATCAATTTTATGTAAACTTCTTCAAACTAATTTTAAATAATAATAAACTTACAGTATTTAACTTATGCAACAGAATTATTAATAGAAAAAACATTAATAAATTAGTAAGCTACATTTGGGACATAATCTAAAAAATAAACAATATGTTTATTTCCATATACCATACAATTGTAAATAGGTGAAATAATATTTATTTTATTTTAACATTTTGTAGAATTTGCACCTCCGCTGAAGCACATCTAGCAAATCTCATGTTTTAGCCATTAGCTGCGAATTTGCTTGATTATTATTTTTATTTTTTTCCTTGATGTTAATATAGGAGTAGGTTCCTTGGCTATTTTCTTATCAGTCTGCGTCCACATGTTGGATGCCATGTTTGCTCACCCACTTTCTCACATCTCAGCGGTTGCCATAGCAAAAATCCAATAATTACGGTTTGAACTGCTTGACTATCCACTTTACTCACCAGATCTAGCCCCAAGCGACTTATTTTAGTTCTCTTATCTAAAAATTGCGATCAGGACAGAGATTTTCGTCAAATGAAGAGGCAATCACCTTCGTGAACAATTATTTTGTAGAGTACTTTTTGGACGGGTTACAGAAATGGAATCAGCGGTGGGAGAAGTGTGTAGAGTTACAAGGAGACTGCGTTGAAAAATAATTTTTAAAAATTCAGAAAAATGTCTTATATTTTGCTTATGTAGGAAACTTTTCAGACCACCCTCACAAGTCAGTGCAAATTCATTTGCGCATTTGGAAGCAAAAGTAGTGGATGAAATTGATACCTACTTGATAATGATTTCAAAGGTCCCTGAAATTCTTCCAAATTCAGGCCTAATTGAACTACCCACTTAGAAATTCAGAAATATTAAAGAAAAAAGGCTTTCACCTACATTAACAAATGGATTCTTTCAGTCCTGTAAGACATTTGTCCAGGAAGAGTCCAAATAGCACATCTGTTCAACATGAATAAATGTAATATTATAGGAAACAAAGTTTAAAATTTACAACAAAAAATATAGCTATTTTGTTAGAATGTGGGCAGGGATGGTTAAGTGGGCTAATGGGCAACCCGGAATCTGGCAACATAGAAGTTATGAGATAAAATAATACCGAGTTTGTGTCCCGGTGATAAGGGGTCTCTTAACCCAGGGACAACCTTGGAAACCCCCTTAAGACTTAAAAGGTGAGGAAAGGGAGGACAAAAAAAAAAAAAAAAAAAAAAAAAAAGATGTTTTATTAGATTTGTTGGAAATTATTTTAATCCTCCAGTTTTGACATTTTTCAAGGTTAGTGAAATGCGATTGAAGAACTGAGATGCAATAAATGGGTAACTATTCATTGATAACAGACAAGGATCGTCAGCATAAAGGTGATAACAGGCATCAGATGGAGTTGGGACATCAGCTATATAAACTGTGTAGGAATGGGACCGAAGGTGTTACAGATTTGAGGAACATCAGCACCTAGAGAAAGGGGAAATGAAAAGAGGGATTCCCTCAATATCCATGAAGCTTTGAGCCAAATCAAACAAGCCATCCTTCAAATAAACACATATCCAATAAAATACATGTATGCATGCAGAAGCAAAAGTAGAAGTTAGGATTTGATGAAATTGAAATTAGATCATCTATTTACGTACAGTTCCACGCATTCTCTGAAAATTTCAGCAAAAGCAGATTAACAGTAGAAGGTGTTATGCCCACCCCACAGATTTCACTATAAGCAGACACGAGTCAAATTTGTTCCTTGCTATATAAAATATAAGCAAAAAATTTCAATTCTGCTCACAATTGTTTTTTAAACCCCCACAATACAAAGCTTCCCTGTCTTCGGAGATAGAAAGTAAATAAGAGTTTGGGTAAACTTTTTTTTTTTTTTATTTAGAAACTATTATTTTTTTAGCAATACATTTTCAGAGCATTATCAATCTGAAGGGATTAACAAAAATCCGTGACAATTCGGATTTTTCTGTCTTATAACACCCTGTAAAATCTGTATTTTTTGCGAAACAGGAAAAAAATGTAAAACAATCCAGAACAGTTTTCTTAACTACCATGTTGCTGAGGACATTTCTCCTCTATAATTCTACCAAAAATTAGACAACTTTTTATTCATTTATTTTTTTAACATTGAATTCCTAGTTTGTAGGCATTCTTTGAATAAAAAGTAAATTTGGTGATAGTTAAACAACAGCACCAAATATACATACTTGTTCATACTCTGTGCTTTAACAGCTGCTAATTGTTCCTGAGACAATGGTATGGAAAGAGGAAGACAATACTCTGTTCTTCTGGTGTACTTCACTTTCCCAGTTGCGCCACATTCAAATCTATCTTCTACTTGTAATTTAAAGCACTCAGTAGGATCAAGACTTCCACGGCTGTTTCTCTACAAAAGAAAAGAAAAAAAATATTTAAAAATTATAATTTCAAAAATGTATTATAAGGATTCAATTTGTATTAAAACGAGCTAAATAAATAAGGTTATATATTTTAAATACCTGGACAAATGTTAGAAGATGCAAAAAGAATTCATGTGCATCTTGCTGATTTTTAGTAGAAAAATCAGGATGACCCCTGCCAATAACATTTTTGAACATTATGGGTGTCACGGGTGGAATTATTTTCCTTTCTGGCTGATCTGAATTATCAGATTGGGCATATTTACCAGAAATCAGACCGGTAGCTAGCTTTGCCCTAAAATAAAATGTTCCTTGATTTTTTATCTTGCTAATACAAATATGATTAAACTAAACACAATTCTTTTAAAATTATTTTGTTCATATTTTAATTATACTTACTGTAAAAATGTGAAGCACAATTATTTAAAATCATAATATTTTTATTCTAAAGTAACTTATCATTTAAAGTTGTATTTTATATCTTGTTTACTAAGGAGCTCTGAATCCTATTCATCTCTTTAATCCTCACCCCAATGGACCAATTAATTGGCTCAGTTAGTTAGTTAAGTACATGTATATGTATAGTCAGTTAAGTGTTTAGCTCGGATTATTCATAGAAACAAATATGGACCAATGAAAAAGAATTATTATCCTGTCTTAGAGGAGAACTTTAGCCTGAAAGCCTTCTTCCACACTTGCTTGTGGATCAATCGGCCATACTCACAGATTTAGTAATAAAATGCTTCAATGAAAAGAAACATATTTACATGTTTTTATTAGATCTTGAAAAGGTGTATAGTATAGTTTGAGATAGAGAACTTAAATACAACCTAATTAAGTAAAATTGCATTCATTTTTCCAAGCCACCAACAGGTAATAAGGTCCCTTTACGATGATGATAGGGCACTGAAAACTTGTTTGAATTGCATCGATACTAATATACATCAGTTACAAAATTTAAAAAATACTTAAACTGGAAATTAAAAATAAACTCAAGAAAGTTTGAAGCCACAATCCTAACATAAGGCACATATCAACCATTTTATTTCCATAAAACTAAGATTATATTCCTTAGTCCAATGCACTAAATTAACTAGAATTAACTCTAGACAGATCCTAGTAGTTTAACTTGTAAAACTAATTACAAAATATTTCAAAATTTATGTATGAGGATTATAAATAAAAAAGAGGGAAAATAAATAAGTTTTATTTAAATCATAAGCAACCTATGAGTTCCAAGGCAGTTTTAATTTATGAGAATAGTTAAAACTTATCAACTATTGGTAGAATAGTATTTGCATGAATTTTAAATAAAAACAATATTCATATCATAACTACCAATCAAATGATCTATGGTCTTTAGCTTGGAGGAATATAAAATGCAGAAATTTAACTAAATTCGAAAGGAAATTAGATAAATAATTCAATGAGTTATTTAGATTAAAGGCTTCAGTAATACTCACATAGATAGTGATTTCAAATCCAAACTCAGTATCCTACAATCCATCTTTCAATTCGCAAAATATGACAAAACTTACTTTTTAAAAAACATAAATTAAATTAAGGAAGTGATATCAAGAATAACCTACATTTGAACGTTGAAGTCAACAGCAGGATCAACAGGAGCATTATCGAATACAGCATCAGCATTCTCATAATATCTAAAATACCAGAAAGTAGTAAATATTTCATAATGAAAATTGACAATGAATAGATTCAAAAAAGATTACGGTTTATAAAATATATTACTTCTTTATGAAATCAGGAATGGAGAAAATAATCTGTACAACTGAATTGAGATAACAAGAATTTCCCATATTGGCCAATCCTGTTAAACCTGGTCCCGATACAGACTTTCCATCTTCAGTCCCACTCCACTCTTTATAGTTTGTATTCAGAGCAAGTTCAAGTTCAGCCATACTTTTCTCTGTCTAATAAGAAAATTATTTTTTTTAAGTACAACAAAATAATTAATAAATTGACAATAAAGAGAAAAGCTAAAAACTAGGATAAAAATGTAAGATTCCAAGTACATGGTTTTGTGTCTCTGAAATACCGGTAATCAACCAAGCAGTTAATTTTTAGCAAATTCAGAAAAGAAAAAATACATGATCAAATGTAACCAAACCAAATTCAGCACTTTTCAGCTCCTCCGCAACTTTGTACCTCCATAAGGAACAAACAAATAAAAACTCCTCACAATCTTTTATTTTATATATCCAGTTCTGATAATTTTGCAGGGGTCTAGTTTGTATCATTTCGTGTAGTTAATGTGAACCTAAATTCCTGCTGAATTTCGTGTGGATAGTTGTACGAATGTTGAAGTCTGAATACAAATATTTGCATCAAGATACAATATGCCATTAAAAATGCAAATACTTGTATTTACAGGAGTGATAATGAGCATTGTTATATTCATATAAAATTATGATGAGACATTCTTCTTTATTTACCAAATATTTATTGTTACACAAATAAATAATTTGAAAAAAATAATAGCTTCTAAACTCCATGTCCATGTCCATGTCCAATAAAGCCATGTCACAAGGCATCCTCTAGATGTTTCCCCGACTGGGCTCCCGTAGAGATAGATGATATTTTCATCATGGAAAACCAAATAACATTAACGATTTCAAAGGAAAAATACCGCCACAATGGGACTGTTCAAAGGCTGTTTTATAATTAATAAACATATTTATTTTTAGGAATTTTGTGAATGGAATCTTCTTTATTACGTCTGTAAATACAACTAGTTTAAGTTTTACTAATATTTGTTAGTTAATTAAGAATATTTATATATATTCTTTAAATATTCTTTATTGCACCTGTAATTATAACTATATTCCTATTTACAGCAGTGAATTAGACTTGTAAATTTTAGAGAAAATAAATATTTTTTAAATAAAGAAGAATATTTATCCTAATATTAATATTATATGATGAATATAAGAATACTATATGAATATAAAAATTGAATATTTAATAGTTGACCATTGCATTATAAAGCAAGGAGATGGTCCGGGGTTGCGGTCATAAATAGGCTAAATAGTGGTAAAACTATTCAGCCTATTTATGACCGCAACCGCGAATATAAAAATATTCTTCATCACATATTTAAATACATTTATTGCGTAATGAGGAGACTTTGGGGCTCTAGGCTTCTAATAAAGAAAAATATTTTTTTTTTCTTAGACCCATATTTATTTCTATGTGTAATTTGTGCTAAGTACTTAAAAAAATTAGACTATCTATTACTTTTAAATTATAATGTAAATAAAGCAACAAAATGTAAGCACGTTTTAAGAAAAAATATAGCATTTCCAAGTCAATTTCAACCTTTTCCAAGTCAAATTCAACCTTTTCCAAATCAAATTAAACTTTTTCCAAGTCAAATTCAACCTTTTCCATTTCAAATTAAACCTTTTCCATTTCAAATTCAACCTTTTTTTATTTATTTAATTATCTTTAATTTTTCGATGTGTGGGTCTGTTATCGTATGAGTAGTTTTTGAAAATAACCTCCTTTTTAAAATTACGTGACTGAGTTTCGAATTATTTAAGTTTTTTTGAATTATTCGATATAAGGGTGTATTTTTATGTTTCCCGATCAGTAAATTTTGAAAATGACATCCATTTTATGTTTACGCCACTGTGTTTTGATTTATTTAAGTTTTTAGAATTTATCCAACATAAAGGTCTACTTTTATGTTTCTGGAGCCATAGATTTTGAAGACGACCTCCATTTTAAGATTAGGTCACCGCGTTTCGACTTATTTGAGTTTTTCGGATATTTTTCATATGAGGGTGTATTTTTATGTTTCCGGAGCTGTAGATTTTGAAAATGACCTCCATTTTAAGCTTAGGCCACCGCGTTTCGACTTATTTGAGTTTTTCCGATATTTTTCATATGAGGGTGTATTTTTATGTTTCCGGAGCTGTAGATTTTTAAAATGACCTCCATTTTAAGATTACGCCACTGCGTTTCGACTTATTTCAGTTTTTCGGATATTTTTCATATGAGGGTGTATTTTTATGTTTCCGGAGCTGTAGATTTTGAAAATGACCTCCATTTTAAGATTAGGCCACCGCGTTTTGACTTATTTGAATTATTTAAGTTTTCTTGATTTATTCGATGTAAGGGTGTATTTTTATGTTTCCGAAGCTGTAGATTTAGAAAATGACCTCCATTTTATGATTACGCCGCTGCATTTTGACTTATTTAAGTTTTTCGAATTTATCCAATATTAAGGTCTACTTTTATGTTTCTTGAGCCGTAAATTTTGAAAATAACCTCCATTTCATGATTACGCCATTGCATTTTGACTTGTTTAAGTTTTTCGAATTTATCCAATTTAAAGGTATACTTTTATTTTTTCGGAACTGTAGATTCTGAAAATAACCTCTATTTTATGATTACGCCACTGCGTTTCAACTTATTTAAGTTTTTAGAATTTAACAAGTATAAAACTCTAATTTTATGTTTCTGGAGCAGTATATTTCCCCCATTTTGTAAATGACCCAATTTCAAGTTTAAGCCACTGTGTTTTGGATTATAAAAGTTTTTTTTTTACTTTTTCGGTATAAGGATCTACTTATATGTTATCCGAGACGTATTGAAATTTTTCTAATCTTTAATATTTAAATTTATCTAATATTTAAGCTCCATTTTATGATTAAGCCGCTGCATCTCGAATAATTAGGCTTCATTTTGGATTTTTTCAATACAAAGTTTTATCAAAATGTTTTCGAGTATGAATAAATAAATAAATATTATGAAGCTAAAGTTAAATTAACAACAGAATGCAAACTAAAAAGCCAAAAAGCAGCTGGTAATAAATTTAACCTTCCGTATTCAGATTTTTCAGCTAATTGTTCAAAATCTTATAATTTTGTGACAGGATACCACAACATTAAAAAAGATAACTAAAAATAAATTAAAAATGATACAATACATATTTTATTTATTTTGATTAGATATTTTTATTTATTTATTGAAAAATAAATTAATCCTTCGTATTTTGTTTTTTATTCGAAGGAACAATCAAAAACACTTAAAAAAACCGAAACGCAGTGGCCTAATCTTAAAATGTAAGTCGTTTTAAAAACTAAGGCTCCGGCATCATAAAAGTAGACCTTTAAATTGGATAAATTTGAAAAACTTGAATAAGCCGAAACGCAGTGGCGTAATCTTAAAATGGAGGTCATTTTCAAAATCAACGACTCCGGAAACATAAGAATACACTCTTTTGTGATAAAAATTTGAAACACTTAAAGAAATCGAAATGCGGTGGCCTAATCTTAAAATGGAGGTCGTTTTCAAAATCTACGGCTCCGGAAACATAAGAATACATCCTCATATGAAAAAAATCCGAAAAACTCAAAGAAATCGAAACGCGGTGGCCTAATCTTAAAATGGAGGTCGTTTTCAAAATCTACGGCTCCGGAAACATAAGAATACACCCTCATATGAAAAAAATCCGAAAAACTCAAATAAGTCGAAACGCGGTGGCCTAATCTTAAAATGGAGGTCGTTTTCAAAATCTACGGCTCCGGAAACATAAGAATACACCCTCATATGAAAAAAATCCGAAAAACTCAAATAAGTCGAAACGCGGTGGCCTAATCTTAAAATGGAGGTCGTTTTCAAAATCTACGGCTCCAGAAACATAAAAGTAGACCTTTATATTGGATAAATTCTAAAAACTTAAATAAGTCAAAACACAGTGGCGTAAATATAAAATGGATGTCATTTTCAAAATTTACTGATCGGGAAACATAAAAATACACCCTTATATCGAATAAGTCAAAAAAACTTAAATGATTCGAAACGCAGTCACTTAATCTTAAAATGGGGATTATTTTCAAAACTAGGTACAGGACAGCATAATACTAGTCCCTAATAAATCCGAATAGGTACAATAAATCGATATCCGTAAGTGAAAATTCTACTTAGGAGAGCATAATAATAGACTTTCATATTGGAGGGGGGTAGGGGATGGCCATTATTTTAAAAAAATATAAGATTTACAAAACCTCGCGCGGGCTCATTACCGCGTATGGGGAGCGTCCCACGGGTGGCGGATGTGGGGATGGTCGGTGGAAATTCCTTGGAAGTTCCTCCCGGCTAAGTCCGATGGACTCGCTGACCAACAATGAGAGGGGCCCTCCAGACTTGCTGGAGGGAGGGGACCTCCAGACTTGCTGGAGGTAGGGGCCCACCAGACTTGCTGGAGGGTGTGACGTAGGATTGAACGCCCTACTCACATATCTTTAGTTCACCAAACACCACAAAAAGTCATGGATCTCCCTAAGGTAAAACGCTCATTATCCGGAGGTAAACTAGTCCCCCGTTCGGGTCTCCGGGTGGGGACTGCTTTAGGGGATTCATGGTGCAAGTTGAAATATAGGGATTTAAATATTGGTACGTGGAACGTAAGGAGTTTAAACACAGCAGGGGGGCTAAAATCGGTCGCGAATGAGGTAAATGGGTACAATTTGGATGTCGTGGCTCTGCAAGAGGTTCGCTGGCCAGGGGAGGGCTCGATGAGGGAAGGAAAGTACACTATTTGGTACGGAGGAAGCGGGAATCATTGTTTAGGTACCGGGTTTCTAATTAGGAGTAGATTACTATCCGCTTTGAGCGACGTACAATTCTTTAGTGATAGAATTTCGGTAGCTATATTTCAGGGACGTTGGTTCAAAATCGCATTAATAAACATACATTGTCCGACCGAAGACAGTGACGATGAAGTCAAAAGTGAATTTTACGATAAACTCGAATGGGTTTATGATAAACTACCGCGAAACTACATGAAAATAATTGTAGGTGACGCGAACGCAAAGGTAGGAAGGGAAGAAGTTTATATTCCGACGATTGGTAAAGAAAGTTTGCACGAATATAGTAATGATAATGGGATCCGTCTGATAAACTTTGCCATCTCGAAAAACCTGATAATTAAAAGTACGACGTTTAAACATAAGGATATTCATAAATATACTTGGACATCACCGGATTCGCAAACACGAAATCAAATAGATCATGTCTTGATACAACACAGCTGGCAAAGCAGTATAATCAATGTACGGTCTTATCGCGGAGCAGAATGTGGGTCGGATCATGAATTAGTAATCGCGAAACTTCGACAAAAACTTAATATAAAAAAGAGAAAAGAAAACCGTTTCGATTTTGAGAATTTTAATTTGGAAAAATTAAAAAATCCATCAATTAGAAACCAATTCGAGCTAGATGTTAAGAATAGGTTTGAAGCTTTAGAGCTTCCTGACGAGGACCACGAGGATATTGACAAGTTATGGGTAGAGATCAGGGATAATATAAAAGCGGTCGGTAACTCGTGCCTAGGAAAAAAGGAAACTAAGAATAACAAACCGTGGTTTGATGAAGATTGCTTAAACATGTGCGAAAAAAGAAAAGCCGCTAAATTAAAAGCTCTAAATAATCCTAGCGAAGACAATCTGGAATACTTCCGAATCTCAAAGAACGAAACGACAAAATTGCTCAAAAATAAAAAAAGGGAGTATCTTAAAAATAAAATAATTGAAATAGAAACTAATAGAATCGAAAATAACGTAAGAGACATGTACAAAGGTATAAACAGATCACGTAAATATGTAGGGCCCGTAACGTCTGGAATTAGGGATGATAATAACAATATTCTGACCGATCCGGTTGACATATTGAATAAGTTTAAGGACCACTTTGACAATATTTTAAATACGGGAAATTATGATCTGTGTCCTCCTTCTGAGTACCAGAGTGCTGAACCGTTAATAGAAGGACCAAGTAAAGAGGAAGTTGAAGTAGCTATCGGAAAATTAAAATCATATAAAGCAGCGGGAATCGATAATATTCCTACTGAACTAATTAAGGCATGCGGGGAAGCTGGAGTTTCTAAAATACATCGGTTGGTTAAAAAGATCTGGGTGAACGAGAAATTACCTGAAGAATGGAAAGAATCTATTCTTATTCCGATTCACAAAAAGGGTCCGAGGACGGATTGTAATAACTATCGAGGAATTTCACTCCTTCCGGTATGTTATAAAATATTCACTTCAATCTTAACCAGTCGAATTACGGAATACGCCGAGGAAATTATCGGAGACTACCAATGCGGATTTAGACGGAATCGTTCGACTATTGATCAAATATTTTCTTTACGGCAAATATTAGAGAAAAAATTGGAGTACAAAGGTATTGTTCACCAGCTGTATATAGATTTTAAAAAGGCTTACGATTCTATTGACCGCCAGAAACTGTATAATATTCTAATTGAGCAGGGGATTCCAAAAAAACTAGTAAATCTAGTCAGGATGTGCTTGACGGAGACACTCAATAAAGTTAGAATCGGTAATAATTTGTCCGAAAAATTTGAGGTTCGTTCGGGCTTAAAACAGGGGGATTCGCTTTCGCCTGTCCTGTTCAATTTGGCATTAGAACATGCCATTAGGGAGGTAATGCGAACCGAGAAAGGGTTGGATCTGGGCGGGACAACATCCGTGCTGGGCTATGCTGATGTTCTGGTACTGTTAAGCGAAGACGTTGAAACTATAAAACTAAATACGACAACGTTAATGAAAGCCGGGAAAGAACTAGGACTCGAAATAAACGTGGATAAAACAAAATATATGGTTAGCTGCAAAAATGGCGATACTACTGGTGACATCGATATAGATGGTAATATGTTTGAACAGGTAGATAAGTTTAGGTATCTAGGTTCAACGATAACTAGAAAAAACGAAATTGAAGAAGAGATTAAAGTTAGACTGAAGGCGGGAAATGCTTGTTATTTTTCTGTGACAAAACTACTTAGTTCGCGCCTCTTGTCCCGGAACTTAAAAATTAGAATCTATAAAACAATTATCTTGCATACAGTTCTTTATGGATGCGAAACTTGGCCACTTACATTAAGGGATGAGCAGCGTCTTAAGGTTTTTGAAAATAAAGTATTGCGTAGAATATTCGGACCGAAGAAGGATGAGTTAACCGGAGAGTTCAGACGGCTACACAACGCCGAATTGCGTGAGCTGTATCCGGGTAATATAATTGATGTAATTTCATCGCGGCGAATCAAATGGGCTTGTAAAGTTGTTGGGCTTAGTAACGAGAGAATCCCTAAAAGGTTAATATTTGCTGTGCCGAATGGTAAGCGTCCGAGGGGTAGACCGAAGCAAAGGTGGGAAGATTGCATTAAAGCCGATCTGAAGGGACTGGGGTTGGACGGCGAACGGTGGAGGGAGGTGTGTAATAAGCGATTGGTGGTGTCGGCATCGAACCTTCGGGTTCGCTCAGCCTTATTATTATTATTATTATTATAAGATTTACAAAAAATTAAAACATTAATTTGAAATGAAAACGGTTGAATTTGAATTGGAAAAGGTTTAATTTGAAATGGAAATGGTTGAATTTGACTTGGAAAAAATTTAATTTGATCTGGAAAAGGTTGAATTTGACTTGGAAAAGGTTGAATTTGACTTGGAAATGACATAGAAATATCACACTGAAAAAATCTAAAATGTTAAAATAAATGGATATGCAACCGCGTTATCAAAATTTTTTTGTATTTTTCAAAAGCTATGCCTTCGATAATATAGTAAGTGGCCTTCATTTCGAAAAAAATCGAAAATTGACATAAATTCGAAAGTTGTATTTGAAATGGAAAAGGTTGAATTTGACTTAGAAAAGGTTGAATTTGAAATGGAAAAGGTTTAATTTGACTTGGAAAAGGTTGAATTTGATTTGGAAAAGGTTGAAATTGACTTGGAAATGCTATATATGAATATTTTATTCCTAAAGGCACCAATCGTCCTGTATTTCCTTTCTTGGCCCATCGTTTTCCTCCAGAATAATTACATCATTAAGATAATTTTTCAAAAATCTTCCTCAAAAATAATTTCTAAACTCACTATTGATGAATTTTTCAGTATTTTTATTCACACATTTAAATACAAGAATATTCCCATTTATGGGAGTGAATACGGTTGCAAATATAGGTTTAAAATAAAAAGTTTAATAAAATTAATATTTGTTGAGAAAATAAGAATATTCATTCATACAATTATGTGAAAATATTCCCATTCACAAAGTAATATTTTAAAAATCCTTCAAACCACATAAAAATAGTACCCTAAAACTCATACAACCTATATCTAAAGAGAAAAGAATGGAATTTCTTGAAAAACCTGAGATCGAGAAAAAACAATGAAAAATAACATGTTATGCTCGAATATCAATAATACCCAATTTGAGGATTCTGCTCCCAATAAATTAGTAGCAGCTAATGAAAACGAGACGTAGAGGATGGGGGTCGCCTATATGGACAATAGTTTTATTTATGTTTTTACCCCTCACCTGGCAAGCAGAAAGGAAGACCGTCATAAATTAGGAGATAATTAGTTTTTATTTAATGTATTTAATTGTTAAGTTTTCATTCATTTCATAGATTGATTTGTAAATTATGCTTTTTAGTGTTGTTTATTTTTATATCTTATAGTTGATAGGTACTTAATGGGAATAAATGATATTTTGACATTGAAAACTTATTTTTTCTAAATTTTCAGTTATTAATTCAAACTATTAATTATTGTCGAATATAGATAGTTTGATAGTTTATTGAAATATTAGTTTTTAATACAAAATTATTGATCCCTTTGGACGGCATTTGACATTTTTTGGAAAAATGATCCATATAGATTTCTAATTCAACATTATTTACACAAATTGTAAATTTAAGGATATTTTACAATTCTGTACCTTTTCCAAATTCATTATGTTAATGCCAAAGTGGGCTAGATGTTGGATAAGGTATGGATCTTCAACCATATCATCTTCTTCGTAGCTATACACATCCCCTTTTCCTTCTTTAGTAATTGTGCCTAATTTTACAGCCAAAGGGTAACCTAAACGACATTAAATTAATAATTAAAATTGAGTACAAATAATGCTTATAAATTAAAAAAAAGTATTTCCAATGCTGTAAAAAAAAAAGTATTCCAAAGTATTTAAATACAATTCTTATAAATAAATAATAAATAAAATAAAAAATAATAATTAATAATTAATAATAAAAAATAAAATAAATAATTATAAAAAAAATTGTATATTTCTCCATCTGTTATTCATTTATTTTCTAAACATTTTTGTCACATTGTTGGTTTTATTTTTTAAATAAAAGCTTCTATACTTCCTGAATAAGGAATTAATAAAACTGCATAACTTACTGTTTTTCTTTTAACTAATAACCTTTTATAATAAATCACACACCTAATAAACATAGAAGACTGTTGTTGAATGATATAAAACTTTATTCCTCGAGAACTTTTCTCTATTCGATTTTACCAATTAAATTCATATGACTACATATGATGAGGGAAAAAAAGTTACCAGTTTTTTTGTAATGCTGAAGAGCATGTTCATTGCCTCCTGTTCCGTCAAAAAACCTTCTTCCACACAGAATTTTTCCATCAGTGAGGTTCAGCCATAGATTGGAATCTAACTCACATTCTTCACATTTCCATCCATTTGGTGGAATCTTAACACCATTATCAATTTGTAATAAATTAGCAGCATGTCTGAAAAATGAAGTAACAAAATTGAATCATCACAAAATCATTATGAGTTTCATTATAAAAAATATGTAATAAATACCAGATACCTAAAAAAAATACCAGAGAACCAGAATGTTTTTCCATTACATGATTAAAGAAAATATTCCTGAGTGGTTATCTGTGATTGCAAATATTCTTTGGTATGCATTCACAATGTAATCAGTTCATCTTTTAATTAAATTTATAAAATAAACGAAATTTTAATTTTCACTCACAAATCGCCCTTTTTCCTCATTAAGCATTGCTCTTAATGGTTATTAAAATTTTTATCTAATTCACCAACAGTATATTTAAATTAGAAAAGGAAAGGATTTAACAATTCATTAAAATCTAAAATAAATTTGATTGTACGGTAAGCTACAGATTTACAGTGGTAGTCACTAAGGAGACTGTATTAATTTTTTAAGAGTTAAACAGATATAAAGAAAATGAAAATAACACGACTAAGTAATAACTTTACAACTGAAAATTGTTAAAGACAAAATCTTTTAAAATCTGACTGTTCATGAACAGCTGCCTAGCAAAACTGAAATTTCAATGATGATATCACTGACAGTCACTGCCTATTTAATTCCACCGACTTCGGATAAACACAATTTCTTAAAGTGGCTAAAGTACCACGGCTGCCAATTTTCGCTGACACCAATGCCAATCACAGTCGCTACAATAAATATTTACCTTTTTACTTTTTTCTTTTTCGTTTATTCCTAACCTTGCCATTTCTAGTTTGTAAGAGAGGAGGGGAAGATAGAGGGGTATTTACCTTGAAACTGATCTTGCTTCACCATCCCATGTACCAGCAACAGACTCCAATTCTGCCATTTTTAAAGCTGAACTAGCAGCCAAGACTCCTTCAACAGATTGAACTACCTAGATTGTAAACATAAAATAAATAAAGATTAATTAACAACAATAAATAATTTACCAAAGAGAAACTAATAAATTTACTTAATATTTTGTTTTAAAATGTGGTTTCGCACAGGTTTTGCTTTTGGTACTGTTGAAGTTTGGTACATTCCGTATCTATCTGCTTTGTATGGAGTATCAATTTCCAAAAATAGCTTAAAGCTCTGATTTTTTTGTTTTAAGTGATAATCTAAATTCAACCACTCGAGGTATAGGCCTGAGGTGCCATAGTTAGATGAAGAAACTGCCTCCTTTAGGTTCCAAAGCTAACCTCCTTGGTTCTAGGGTTTAGGATCCTCCATCTTAAGGAAGGTATTCTTGACTACTTAAGGAAATCTGTTTCCAGCATTCCTACACTGGTAACCCAGTGAGCAACAATTTCTTTAAAGAACAAGTATTTTGTAAGAATTGTAAGAAATGAAAATGCAGAGAAGGACTGGATAAGTGAACATAACAAAGACTAAAAAACTCTTAAGTATGCCAATAAATCAACAATCTTTGTCCATAGAGCACCATTGATCCTAGTTAATAATCAAACCAACAATGTCAAGCTTTCCACAATCCTTCCTTCCATGCCTCGTTATACATGCTAAGAGATTGTGTGAAATGAAACATTGTATGCCAATGAATCCATAGAGAAAGGGAAGGAAATTCCTATACCTTCTGTGCCAATTTGATACTTTACTTGTTTGCACCTTTTTGGTAAAATGGTACTCACTGGAATTGTGGCTAAGTATAGTACCAGCACTATACAGCATCAAATATAGCCATCAACCACTCCTATACAATCATTTTCGTTAGGAACCTTGCAGCCAAGAATATTTTTAAAGAACTCTCATACCTGCACAACATTGTTTTTGTCCACGTTCTGATTTGGGTTGTCTATAAAAATTAGGCTAGACCAAAGTTTTTTTCCTGGTGTAATAATATAAAATAATAATATGTTACATAATAATATATATACTATTATATATATTATATAACACAGAATTAATATAATTGTAACATTTAAAGTATATAATATAATCAATAATAAGTATGCAAGTCCTTGTTAAAATGTAATTTAATTTTAGAATGATTTTAATTGATCCGAAGTGGGTCTGGTCTCATTTTAGATACATATCAAATGAATATATTTAATGAGTCACTTGTTTTAAGATAATTTGTATAAGTAAGTTATTGAAGTCCTTTGTATCCATTTTTCCATTGTACAGTTCATATAATTAATAGAAAGAATTTAAAAACAAATTCACTTTTAAGATAACCTCTGCATTACTCTGAAGACCCAAAATGATTTAATTTAAAAAAAATTTTCTTAAAAATAACATTGCATGATCTCGATATTTCTGGCCTTGAACCAGTAATGTGGTTTAAAAATCTTTTAAAAGCCGATAGAACAATTCTCATGAATAAAACTACAAATAAATATTTGATAGGATGATATTAAAATCCAAAAATAAAACACTAAACAAAAATTTAAAAAGTAAAAATCTTACCACTAGAGGTAACTTATCACATGGCCATGGGATTGATATAAATTCAGGTAATACAACAATCGATAATGTTTCAGTGGTGACAATATCCTTCTTATCAGGTTCAAAACCTCCTTCAATTCCAATAGCAAGTTTGGTGACCTTCCGTTCTGGTCCATCGCCCTGTTTGTTTTCCTTCTTTAAAATATAGAATTATAAAATAATAAAGGACTAAATAACAAGAAAAAAATTGTAAGTTAAACACGTCAACAAATAATAAGCTTAAAAAATAAAGTTATATCTTTGAAGTAACGTTTAAAGAGCCTATTCACATGAAGCGGTTTTAGCAGAGTTTGCTAGTTTCTTTAACAGGAACAGTGGTAGTAACAGACTGGGAAGTAACAGGACACAGACTAGCCATTTAGAAATAGACAGGATGGTGGAAAATTAGTTACCTATCTTACGGTACCTTTCTCCACTGCTTGAGAAAAGCCTTATTCTAGACACTAAGGATGGCTACTTGTACTCCAATATAACAGACTGGGGACCGGGTTCAATAGAAACTCAGAAGGACCACCTGTCTGTTTCGAGGAAAAACTTAACCGGCTCAATGAGTGCAAGAGTCCATATATAGAACCTAAATATAGAATCAAGCATACCATTAGGGAAACTGTATTTCAAGCGGAGGTGTTAGCTATACTTTCTGCAACCACTTGTTAAAAAAAAAAATCTGTACCACTAAAATCCAAGAAGGGTCTTGGGTTCAGTTCTATTTAGGGAAAGTACTGTTTCTTGGTCAACAGTTGTGCATGAAAGATAATTGACCGAGATTGCACACACCCGCCAGGATTCCCCCTTAAATAATTATTTAATTATTAAATTTAATTAGGGGTACCCATGTTTAGAGGCTGGGTGTGCCTCAGGAATGGTCTTCTGATCCCAATGTCGTCCCATGGAAAGAATAAATAAAAAAAAGAATAAATAATTTTTCTGCCATGAGCTGGTATTTGAACCTGGAACCTTGAGCATTGGAAGATTGGAAGCATTGGAATAAGCATCAGTTCCCTACCACTGATCTACACTTAGAAGTTATTAATTGTGAGAGTGCTGGCATTACTATAATCTAAATATAGAATCAAGCATACCATTAGGGAAACCGTATTGCTAGTAGGTTAGTCGGTCAGTAGGCACTCCAAGTATTAGAACTCACACTGGTATGGGAGTGAGAACAGACTTTGGAGACATTGGCCTGTTCCTAGAGAGTGCAGAAATGCACTGGAAACTGCCCATCACTACATAACAGAATGCGATAAATTTGCGTCGCTCAGATACAGACTTCTGGGCTGAGATAGAATACAAGAACAAGAAGCTACCTCCACAAAATGGCCCAGTATTTTGAACTTCATTAGAAGACTGAAAAGGTTTGAGACAGAGCTGGAGGTTTTATAGACTAGCATAGGTATTATTGTCTTTGGGTTGGAAAAAAGGACCAATATGTCCACTCGCTGGACTTAGTTCCCCCACCAGTACCGGTACCAATAACAGCATGAAAGTTTTCACACATGACAATTAGAAGCTTGTCTATTGGCAAGTAGAGTCTATTACTTGCCTCGTATGAACTAGGCCCAAGTTAAGTACAATGAGAATTATTCAAAAACAATTATTTTATTTGTCACAACATTTAAAGCTGATTTTGCCCATAACTTTGTCATAACATAGTTCTTACATAACTATTCGGTAAGTTTATGGTACTCCTATGACAACAGTGATAAAAAGAAAGGGCCCTATATGTATCACAACTTTAAATTGGGAAATCTCCGCTTATACTCGATATTTTTATTGAAAGACATATTGCTGAGTTACAAAAGTAGATCCAATCTGCTTTTCATACATGTGCTTTGGAGATCATTAACATAATTATTAATAGTTTTCCATGTAATTTGTAATTGTTCTTGAACTTATTCTATTACGTTATATCATCTTAACTGTTTAGTTGGCAGAATGGCTCAAGCAATTCTTAACAAAAGTTTTAAATTCTTAAACAAAACAAAAATTGGCCACTGAACAAAAAGCAGATTGCTACTTCATGCAAAACACAGTTGATATGAGATTGTATCAATTAAATATGGTTTGTGACAGCCTAACCTTGAGTAAAATATACAAATCAGCTCTGTTTATCAATAGGACTATTGAAAATATAAGTAATTAATGTTCAGATTTAGAGTGATGGGGAAAGAAGATTACCAACCTTTTTTTAGGGAAAGATAAAAGAAATCTCTAAATTAAACAAATTGCTTTTTGGCTATTAATATTCAGATTTTAAGTAGGAAATGTTTAAGAGATTTTCAAGCTCTAATTGAGAGAAACAAATGAAAAATAAAGACAAATAGAAGTAAATTTTAAACATTTGGGATGAAAACCAGTTATCAATCAACTAAAATATTTTCAGCTTTCTCTAGTATTGGAGTATTAAAGTGCTGATTTATTATATTTCTGATTAAACAAAACTGATAACTCCAATTCATTCCCTTCCTTAAAAGAATTTTTTTTTATAATGATAATTTAATGAAGTGAGATAAAGTGATAGAAATAGAATGAAAATTCCATAAATGGTAAAGTGCTGAGGGACTCTGATTGTATAGCTTTCTTGTAGAGAAAGCAAAAAAGATGAATGAGTTGAAAGCTAAAATGTCCACAGGAAGGTCAAGTACAATAAGTACAGCTGAACAATCTCAGAGATACACTTTTAGTGAACAAGCATCTAAAAATAATCATTTTTTATTCAAATAACAATGAAGTAACAAAGTAGATGACCCCAGTGAAAGAATGTAAAACAAATCAAAATGATAAAGAACATGACTCAAGCTTTAAGGGGAGAGGTAGCTTTTTCCTGCTTGAAAATAAACTCTTGGCATATGGCTTCGCCCACAAGATCCTTCCTCAAGCTTTGATTCAATACCACAAGGTAGAGTTAATTGAAAACATGAGCAGCTAGTAACAATAATGTATAATTTTTAATCAGTCAGCACATTAAAATATTTTTATCTGCCTCACAGTAATTGCATAGTAATGTAAATTATTACATAAAATTCATTGAGTTATATAAATATTATTTGTGCACTGTAGTTTCATTCACATTAAATTTCAATCATATATGGCTGCTTCAAACTCATGTTGAGTACATGACAGTATAATTTGAAATATTTAAAGGTATTTATGAAAACTATAATTTTAATTATATGTAAAATTATTAAATATTCTTTAAACAATAATAACATATAATGAGAGATGGATAAGAGAATACACTTTGACAAATCAGAGTTAAACTATGTTCATAAATTATAACAGAATATATTAACATGTTTACAGAGATCAAATATGTTAGGATTATAAGAAGTAACCATTATCATAGGAAGTTAAAAGCATACGTAAACTACTGTATTTCAGAGGTCAATAACAAATAAATTTAATTTCCAATTACTAAATTTTATTGATTTTTGTTGTTGCACTATTAAGTCATTTTTATTTTTCATTTGTTTCCCCAGTTTAATTATTATTATTTTTAATAAATTCCTAGCTTCATTGTTCTAATTTCACTCAATAAATGGAAAAAGTATAGAGAGAATGATTGACATCAACCTGAAAAGTTAAAGTTGTGTTTATTTCGATATGTGGCATGTAATCTAACCAGACTATCTATTTCGATGACTCCACTTATTTCTACATTCTACATTATATTGCCTCAACGATATCCTTAAGTTGTTCCATACTGTTTTTCATCAGTACATATTAGGAGGAAGATTTAGATACAGTTTTTATCTAGTATCTAGTATAGTTTTAGACAATTTTGTTTAGTTAAGGTATTCAATATATAAGGTCATTGATGTGATCGTGGCCCAACCGTCAACTAAACATGATACTACTAAGATGTAACCCCAACTTAATTACAAACCGATGGTCAATCACTAAAAAGTGTTTTATAATTTTAAAATCTAAAAATGATAAGCACACAGCCAATTCAAAACTTACTTTAAAAATAGGTCAAAGAAATCAGCCATAGAATATTTACCTCAATTCGATCCCTCAATAAATGCAAATACACTGCACTACCAGTTCTTTTGAAATGTCTAAGTACAAAATCTTTACCTACGCCTATAAATGTTTGTAAGCAAACATAAAGACCTGTTTCTGAATCCTAAAATATAAACTTTCTATTAGATTCAGTAATATTTATTTATTAAAACAGTATTTTTATAACTTGTATCTTACAGGAGAGTCAAATGAATAAACACATTCATCTTTATAAACCTTATCAGAAGATGTCGGGATTTTAATTTTTGATAAATGCGGCGTGAGTCCGGCAATCGCTGACTCGATCATAATTAAAAACAAAATTAACAAAAAATTTTAAATTTATTTCTATTCGTCAAATTCTTGAAACACAATACTTAACACTATAACCTACTACAAATATAACCTCCCACTCGTGCCGGTCATTCTCTATTCAGTGTTGATTTATTGAGTCATGATTTAAAAATCATTATTACATGGACCTAAACGATATTATAAAATTCAATACTTATAATACTTAACTTTAATTTAATAAAATATCAGTTATAGTTGAACATTTTATATAACCTTGCGAAATTAATCTGAAAAAATAAATAATAGACAAAGCCACTCTGAATTCAGCCATCATAAGTCAAAAGAATCCTTTAAATTAAATTAAGTTAAAATGCACTGTTTTATTATTATGGTATTAGAAAGCCTTAAATCCAACAATTTTATTCAAAAACTGGTTTTAGAGTTTACTAATGTTTTAAAAAGATATATTTTTTAAGCTAATACCGAACTTCTGAGGAAATATACATATGGAATTTAGGTCTTATAACTTATTATAAATGGCAGATTTAAGGGGAGCCTTTCAGGTCAAAGTCCGCCCACAAAATAGAATTTTTTTTCCTTTCGTCCAAATTTGTTTTTATGGGTGATCTGAGACAAAAACCTTTTTTAGAGGTAAAGATGGCCGTATGTGCTGAAACGTAAACATTCTTTCGAGTCTAATATTCTGGTTCTAATACGGCCTGAGTGAGTAAAAATTTAATTCGCGGATCTCGACCTTCTCACTCTGGTGACAATAGGTTTGTACCTCTAGAATAACCCCTCTCTCGACCCCTTCCCCCCTCCCCGTATAACAGAAATGGTGAGGTAGGCGTATCGATAAAAAAAGAAAAAAACAATCAACTACCAAATGTTCTCTTTTTTATTTTAAACGCTTAAACTTCACATAATAAATGTAAGCACGTGTCACATGTGGAGATTTCGCAAACAATGAAGAAAAGTGGAAAGAAAAAATATCCCTTTTCTAATTGAAATTGAGAAAAATGGCTACTTATTGATAAAAAGTGGTCATCAAAAACAAGAGCATGATAATTCCTCCTCCCCAACAGCCCATAAAGTTTAAAAAAAAAAACTCCAAAAGGGGGGGGGGGTATGTCTTCGTTTAACTTAATTTCTTTCAATGTTGTACTTGCCTTTTAGGCCGAACAAGGTTTTCCCGGTCCGGAGGAGAGGGCGGGGGAATTATGGTGAGTTAAAATTCTTACCGGGTACTGGGATTTGAAATTGTTGACAATTTTTCCATCTAAAATCGGGTTTTCAGGTTGCCTGGCATCTGGCGATTCTATGCACACACGTTTGCCCACTCGGCTCTCCGCCCTAAGTACCAATCTGTCGCTGTCAATCAATTTGTAGAAACATGTTTGTATCTGTTGCTATTTTTTATTTTTATTATTTTTTTTTTTTTAGTGCTACCAGGGATGCAATTTCTCAATAAGTGTTTCATGTCATTATATCCATTGTGCAAATTTACTAAATTTATTATTTTTTTATACAGTTGTAAATATCACAATAAATAATAAAAAATGAAAATAAAATATTTTTGTTCATTGGAAGGCAGGAACTGCCCCATCCTGGATGTCCTAATGTCCTCCAATCTTCCATCATAGTTTTTTTATTTTTTGGATAAAAAATATTTTATTTTCAATAAAAAGAAAAAGGGGTCTTCAGGGAAATGTAATTGAACTGAAATGATTTTCAAAGCAACTTTCGTCTTCTCGGAATATCCGTTACTTTAGGAAAATGGGTAACATCTGTTATCTTAGATAATTCACATTACATCCTATGAACGTAATCTTTGGACTCCTTTTAATACACATTTTTACTTCACTTACATATATATGTAATATATAGCAAGGGTAAGTATTGCGATCGTGAAAATTTTTGAATCTGAGTTATCAACGAAAATAAACGTTTTCAGGTCTCCTGAGTCCAAATATCCAAGTCCCGCAAAATGGTCTGTGTGTGACTATATCTGTGTGATAGTGTGTGTTAATAGGCTAGCTCAAAAACGGAAATTCATACAGAAGTGAAATGGGATATTTCAGATTTTTATATGCTAGCCTAGCATTGCTAGGGATGTTGTTACAGCAACTTTTCCGTCAAAAGCGGCTAACCGGAAGTGGCACTTTATATATTGGACTAAACTCATTTTTACGATTATCTCGAAAAGCGCTCCAACGATTTTGATTAAATTCATCATATCAGTGTAAATAAAATGTAGTGTAAGTGTAAGTGTAAAGTTTTAAATAAAATGTGGTTATTATTCTGATTGATATTCTCTAACAGGGCTTAAATGGCTAATTTTCAATATTAGCTTCCTATAAAGTACCTTTATTTTTTTTTATTTTAAACAATTGACCATTGCACATTAATTCCTAATATGAAAAATGGTTAAATATAAAATATGAAAGAATTTGATAATTAACTGAAATAAGAGATCGTAATGGGGAATAATTGTAATTGAGGAACCAAAGGAATATGAGAGCACCCAAGCTCGCCCGAAAGATTAGAACACGCTTCCACACGTATCATGAGATTAATATAATACGGACTCCGACAATATTATATACATATGTGGTTTTCATAAATGCTATTATTTAATATTTAATTGAATAGATTACAGCGATATAAATATTAAAATTTGTATATATGAGGGCACTTATACAAATAAAAATACCCACAATGAAATATAAATAAATATTGATTCTATAATTGTTACTTTCAGTTCACCTTTGTCTGAAAATACTTATTTCTGCTAAGAAGAGGGTGGTAAGTGAGAGTTGTGTGATGCGCGCACCGCACCAGATGTTTTTTATGTGAAATATAATTCGTCTAATCTGCTCTTATTTCCTCCACATCACGATAGTAGATGAAGGGTCCAACAAACAATATTGGCCTTCCGTTCGACCATTTCCAAACTATTGGCAGTCAAACATCGTATAGTAATGAATACGGAGTGCCAGACTGTTGCCTTTAAATGTTTGGCGCCCTCGGGTAATGACTTCATGATTTCTCAAGCTCTTTTATATTATGTAATGTTTGAATTTTATTTCTCTAATGCAGTTACTTTATTAAAAGTCTAAAATTAATTACTTAAATTAAATACTTAACAAGTGGGGGCAACAACAATACTTACGAGTGGCCCTCTGATAATCGGCACCCTTAATAGGCGCCCTTCTATATAAGGGCAATTACCCTATTGGCAGCCAGCCCTAAGGCTTGCACTATGAAGACCCGCCCCTCTTCACCCGCCCTGAAGCAGTTTTTTACGCCCAATTAAAATGAATGAGCAATTAAAAAGCTTTCTTAATCTGAACCTACCCCATGAAAAAAAAATCTTAATAATTGACATGCGCATGATGTTTTGAAGGAAACCGTCAATGTTTTTAATTTATCAAACATAGATAACTTCCTGCACATGAAAAATTAATGAATATTTCTACTTATTTATTATTTTAATTGATTCCTAATTATTTTTAAGATATACTCTCTAATGAATAGTGATTTTTATGGGTATATTGGGAAATCCAAAGACAGAAAATCTGGCAACACTACTCTATACTGAAAGAGATGACAGAGAGGTGTGAACTACTTATCAGTCCAACAGATAATTTTTATTGATTATAAAAAAAAATCTTTAGTTATAAATAACACATGTAATTGTTTCCTCATAGTACAGTGCCATTTAGTACTACACAGGCTAAAATTTTTGTTAATATACTCATTTCAAATCCCAACTTAAACATTTTACATAATTGATCTCCAATGTTTCAAAAGATACTTTGTGTTGGTTTAAATTGCTTTGATATAATTCAAATTTGCAACAGTTATCCCATTGAAGATTCTGAGCAAAGGTATTCTAATATTTTATTTTAGATTTTTCTCTCATTGAAGTGACATTTAAAATATTTTAATGAAATATTTAAGATCAATTGAATATCGAATGCAGAGAGGTGGAAATGCATCCAACAGCTCTACAGTACTCTCATTATTAGGAAGCACCTGTGAGTTCATGGGGACACTATCGAAGAAAACATTTTGGGAGTAAGTTTTCAATTTGTGGATTTAAAAAAAAAAATGAGGACTTACGTCAAGATACTAAATTATTTTCATAAGCAGGTTTAAAATTATACTTGATCTTTTTATTATTTTTTTTTAAATTATTTAAGAAATGATAGAAAGAAGAAAATAATATCTATTTTAGGAATCAATGAGTTCTGCATTGAAGCGCTTCCCAACCACAGCTACGATGAAGACCTGCATAATTGGGTCGAAACATCAGCTTAATAAAATAGTTTCCACTATTTTAAGTTTTTTTAATGACCATCTCTTTGTTCAATAATTATTTTAGTAAATATTTCTAAGAAAAATACTTCAGGCTATTACTCTTTATTTGTCCTAATATTTATTAATATATTTTAAAATCATCTTGTAAATAGTGTCATAGTGTTATTTATTAAGAAAGCTTAATACATCATTAAGCCTATGATCCACTTATGAGTTATTATTTTTGATTAAAACTCCTGGTATCATAAATGTTTTATTTTTTATTATTTTAAACTGGTAAATTGTTGTAATTTACAGATTTATTCAGAAAGATTTTGAAAAGTATTGCATTGATATTAGTGGATGTAAAATATACTATGAATCTCAATTTCCAGTTTCGACTATCATTATCAATTCTCAAAATGGTAGTCGAACAATAGTTCATTCAAATAAGGATTTACCTGAACTTGATTATGAACATTTCAAGAACATTGACTTGACAAATTATTCTTGGATACATTTTGAAGTAAGCAGTATAATTTAAAAGTTAAATTATAGGTACTTAATAAATCAGGTCTAAAAGATAACTCGATGATTTTATTTGATTTATTCTTGTAGTATAAGTTTTTTTTTTAACTTATTCTCTTCCATAATAGTTTTGTAGAAAAGTGTATGTTATAAATATTAACCCACTTTGAAAATAATCATTTTATGTGATACCATATATTCTTTTAAAATATTTTTAAAGTACTTAGTTTAAATCTTAATTGTTCATTTAATCTTAGAAGGATAAAACAGTCATTTTTTTTCTAGGGACGTAATGTATCTGAGGTTTCAAAAATGATGCTAAGTGTTAATGATTATAAAAATGTAAGTGAACTTCCTATCACCGTATCAGTAGAACTGGAAAAGAGAAAGGAATCACTATGTCTAGCAGCTTTGGCAGACATTGTGTTTGTTGGAAAAGAGTTCAGTAAAAATTATAACTGGGATGGAATGAAGACAACTTTGATAGAAATGAGAAAACATGTTAAACCTAGGTATGGATACAGACTATTTCTCAGCTTGATAAAGAAAATACAGTATTTAAATGTAAGTTACAATGCATTTTCCAAAATTCTCAAATTTTGTAAAAGGCATCATGGTGCTGTTTAAATTATACTTTTCCAAAATCTAGATACGTGTCCTTAGAGTGACTATTATAATAAATTAAAATGAGAATAATTTAAATTAAACTGAAATAGTTCAGCTCTATCTCCACTGCGGGCTGGAAATCATTACTCTAAGAATTACTTCTTTGCAGGCTGGTAACTGTATGTGTAGATCTTCTGAATTCCAGAGTGTATGAGTTTTCTTTCAAGACTTATAAGTTTAGCTTTTAATAGTTAACACCTTACATCTAGTTTAATTATAAATGTGAAATGTAGAAAATTCAGAACTTTTTGAATAACAAATGTTGATGTATATTGCATCAAAATAACATGGTAGGAGGATAACTAAAGATATTGTCATGTTCCTTAAGTCGGTCAATAATAACTGCTTCCATCTCTTAAGAGGAAACAGGGCATTGTAAATCTGACCCACGATAAGACTTGCACTATGAGAGAAGCTATTGATCCTTGGTGAAGAAAATGTCAAGGAAAGGGATTCGTTAGAGAGGCCCAATGCCATGCTAATATTTAATAAATAATTCTAAAATTTTTTTATAATTTAAAGATTTTGAAGTTAATATTATATCCTATAAATAAAAACACAAAGTTAAGAATATTTTAATACCTTATGTATGCTAACCATTCGGTCTACTTTGTAGGCCCTTTTTAAAACTGTAAAACAAGAAATGAGTGATAAAATTAAAGGATAAGAAGAACTAAAAATTGTGAGAATGTATAAAAGGTAAAGCACTAGAAGTAAAAGTATCAAAAAGAAGATCAGGAGCTTATTTTATATCTGAAAATTTTGATAGGATATATAAATGGAAATCATAAACAAATAAGTTATATATTATATTTTATACTGCTTTTATTTTTTACCTCATGCCTGTCAGCAGGAGGTGGGTTTGGAGACCACATATTAAATATGGGGAAATTTAGTACGTGGTCTGCCAAACTCTTCATAATATTTGGATAAATATTTTTTTTTTTTTTTTTGCAGTTCAACGGTAATTTCCCTTTGGGATAAACAAGGCGCAATGGCATCAAGTCCAGAAGGCATATTTTCAGCTCCAGCATATCCTCCAGCTACAGTAGTTGATACATTAGGTGCAGGAGATACTTTCATTGGAGGATTTATTCATAGCATGTCCAGAGGAAAAGACTTGAATGAATCACTACATTTAGCATGTAAAATAGCTGGATTTAAAGTTGGTACCTATGGTTATGATGAGTTAAAAAACTTTAAAGAATAGCAATCCTCTTTTAAGAAGTGAACTGCTATATGCACAAAAACCTATAGAAGCTGGTCTTGGCATGAGTTTTCAATCCTTAAATTCCAAAAAAAATTAAGATCAACCACTGCAAAAGTGTTAATTGTTGTCATACAAAATTATACTTATTTTGTTATTTAAACTATCACCTATTAATAAAAACTATTATAAACATGATTTACAGATGAAACTAAAATTACACATTTATTTTCTGATTTATAGTTTATTTTTATAATATAAGGGAGCGGGGTAGCTCAGTGGTAGGGCACTAAGCTTACAATGCCCAAGGTCTCAGGTTCGAATCCCGGCTCATGGCAGAGAATTTATTTATTCTGTTTCATTGGCCGTGGGGCGACCCTGGGGTAGGGAGACCCTCCTGGAGCACACCGAGCCTCTACAAAATGTGTACCTTTAATTAAATAATTGATTAAGGGAGAAACCCTGGCGGTTGAGCGTGATACAGGCCCGATCCCCTCTCTGCACAAATGTTGGCCTTGTAACAGGCCATATTCACATTAAGTAAATCTGTGTATTAACCATTGTATTACTTTTTCTATACTTATCTTATCCCAAGAAATATGTTTGTACTAAATAATGTTTTTTTTTTTTTTATTTATTTATAATTTTATTGAAATTTACAACTGTATTACATTAAAAATACAACAGGTAAATGTGACATTGGTAACATGACATGTAAAATATGAAGAGAAACTACCCATTGGTAGAACTCAAATTAAAGTTATATTAGAAGATCCCGAGGCCATCTTCTTTTCAGACGCCTCGGAGGGTTATCAGGGATAGAGGAGGAAGCAATGTTTGAAACAAGAGGGTTCGGATGGTTCTGCAGTTTGTTATGGAAGGATAGGTATCTGGATTGGGCCAAATCGGAAACATATGGAACATTAAGGTCTTTATGGATGATTTTGTTTGTGACAAAGTAAGGAGCGTTGAAAATAATGTTAGACTGGATGAAAGATAAAGAGAATGATTGCCAAACCCAAAGGTTACAGCCAAAGAGATAAACTGAGGCATAGATGGAAGTACAACTAATATTTTAACAAAGTGAGAAGATACAAAGCAATGTTTTTAGTTTTTTTTTTTTTTTACTTTCACTTACATATTTATGAAATATATATTAATGGAAAGTACTCGGTCAATTCATTTGAAATCACCCAATTTGAATTAATTTTGTTGCTTGACATTTTTGATTTTTATAAATTTTTTACCAGATATTCTATATTTATTTGAGCGTTCGAAGTCGTAGTTAAAAAAATTTTAAGGCTCATAGTTTTTACTCGGCGCCCATTTTCAATTTTCTTTTCGACTGAAAACATGTTTTAGGGAAATACCTGTAACTGTGGTTATTATCAAGCTAAAATAAAAACTGAAATAATTTAAAGTATTTTTTTCTAGATTTCTGTTGGTCAATACATCACCTAAAAAAAAAGGAAAGTGGTTTTAAAAAAATCATGAAAATAGACAAAAAAGGTGACTTTTAGGGCTACAAAAGTGTAATAAACAAAAGAGCCTCAATTTTAATTTTTTCTTAATATGTAGACCTACCGCTGTACTTCTTTCTTATAAAATTTCAATCTTTAAAACCTTGTCTTTTTTTAAATATGAATTTTCAAAAATGCTCAAAAGTCGATTTTTGATGTTATATATGAGAAAATGGACTGAGTAAAAAATTTTGAAATTGATAAAGTTTATGCTTCTTAATGATAGGAATGTGTGATACGTATTTCATCATTGAGATTCAACTGGTTCTATTAGCTATAATGCAACAAATATGGCTGCCTAGTGCGAGTCGGTATCAACTTATTCTATCTACTCTAACTGCGGCATTAATGGAAGTTGTGTGATGCACACACTGTATCAGATTTTTTTTCAGAATAGAAAGTATTATGTTCTGTTGCGTGATTGTAATTTTTATTTTATATTGTCTCATGATCAAAGTGGGAAGGGTTAAGGAAAAGTGAAATTTTTGGATCTTTTAGTTTTAAATCGATAAAATTAATAAAACTGTTATTTACATAAATTACACACTTTTATGTTTTGCATTGATTATATGATCCAATTGGCCACAGATATTAGCAATTACTTGTCCCATGCTAAATTCGAGGGACACCAGGACACATTGGCTAAAAGAGCGATGCTTAGGGTAACAATGACTCACAGAATTAATAGATTCACTTTTTTTCTTTTTTTTATCATACCTTTATTTAATACCTAATATATTTAAATTATATCACAACTTAATGCTGTTACTAACTTTCATAATTTTTTCTTTACTTCGTAGCTAAAGATAAATAAATAAAAATTTAACCTTCTCAAAGAATGAGGCATAGGAAAGCTACAATGTTCAGTAATAACCCAGTTAGTCTTTAGAAGAAGAGAAGTTGTTAAAAAATATATGTTTTTCATAGTTCTTCAGGGAGGAAAAAATTGAATTAGTATTGAGTACTAAGAAAATATCGTTAAAAATCAATATTGTAAAATTGATGACAGTATGTCCATTGATAATGAGTGTATGGGTTTAATAAGTCAGCATCCAAATATCTCAAATGTAACTACTGAAGCAATATAAGCACTAAGCTCTCATGTGTTTGAAAAATACATATTCGTAGTTGGTTTAGTTCATTTGCAAATATTTTGATATAAGGAAGTGCTTTTAATGTTATGATCATCCTTTACGTATTACTTTAAGTAAGCCACAAAGGCTTGCTCGGAATGTAAATAATCCAAGTTTTTAAAAATATAATTTAATCAAAGTTAGCATTAGAGTGTTTTCATAATTTATTTTTATTTTTATTAACAATAATTAATTTTTATAATAACCTCAAATGGTTATTACATTTAGATAGTAATTTTTAAAAAATATATAGTAACAATAAAAAATAATTATTTAAATTTCTTTTTTGTTACATATTATTCAGCTAAATTCTGTGAATGTTTTGAAACAATTTTAGTTCAAAATATTGACAAATATTTGTATTACAGGTTTTTAATTGGTCTATTCGAAGTTGTATAATGATTTTTTTCAGCAAACGGCTGATTTTCAAGTTTGATGGCTCAAATTATTCAGTGAGATCGCATGAGTGTTTTGAAACAATTTGAGGTCAAAATACTCAGAAAAAAAAATATTGTATTTTCACAATTTTGTTTTTTTGGTTCTTTATCATATCTTATATAAATTCAGAATCATTTTCTTTTTGTTCCAACATTAGAGTGCACCGAGGCCTTAAGAAGGCCTAAGTTGTTCTAAACTCAATTAACAGGCCAGATGCCTTTGCGAACCTGTTAATACTAATAGGATCAATCAGTTTGCAGTGCTTATAATCACATCCAAACTATTGCAGTCTAGCCAAATTATCACATCTACAAATAATGTGATAAGCTGTTTCATCCTCCAGGCCACATAGCCGGCAGGTGGAGGTCTCACTTACACCAAATTAAAAAAGTACTTATGAAATTGACAGTGACCAGTATACAATCCTGTCACACGCCTAATGGTACTCCTGTCCATTAGAAGTGAATTACTTCTCTTGTGATAGGACCCTAAATTCAGAATCATACGTATGAGAGGAATATAAATTGTCAATACTTAAAAAGCAAAAAACCTTATAATATAAAATAATTTAATTTTTAAAAAACTGACAACGGAAAAACCCTATCCGTCTTGAAGTACAGAAAATACTTGCATACCTACTATAACACATTTTTATGTAGTGATGTTAACATCTATGAATATTGGAACTTGTTCAAGTAGTTGTCTTCCACTACACATTACAGCCCTTGAAAGTTTCATCTTATATATATGTATATCATATTATTTCTGTGCATGTATATATACAAAAATTAAATGTACATAATATATTTGAGTTTTTTTTAGTGAGTTTTCTTGGATGTTGAAGGCATCCAACTACGATAGCAAGTTTCAAAGTTTGTTATAGACATAAAAAAAACATATATATACATATCTTTTAAGTAGATATGTAAGTATATTTCATCCATTAAGACGGATAGATATTCCCGCAGTAGGCTATTTTATATTCTAATCAAGTTATTTTCTATATTCAATAGATCAAGCAGTTGTGGCCCTACTAAATAAGTAACCAAAATATCGTCTGGCAAACTGAATAAAGGATACTCTCTTTGGTATCAATCAACATCCCTAACTATGACTGTAGTCTGTGATTTACCTTAAGCCTGATCTAAAAAAAAAAATACCTTCTCCATATTAGCTAATTAAAGTAAAATGTTTAAAATAGATTATTAATCTAATCACTATTAATGTGAGCATTCTCTCTCAGATTGATATGATTCGAGAAAAAAAAAATATACCCTTTTTCATTTCATTTGATTAACAGTGGAGATAAAACATTTTAAAAAAAATTAAAACAGAAAATAAATTTTATTAACAATTTATAAGGTAGATATTAGACAGCATTGTTGAAAGAAAACCAATATAATAGTGCTTCATTTTTAAGTATAATTAATCGATATACACAGACATACTTGAAGTGAATAATAAAAATAGAGTAATATGGAAGAAAACCTCAAAGATTGTTCATCAAACCTTTCACATCTCTCTTTGATTAAAAAAAAATCTTTTCTTTAACATTATAGCCCTTTCAAATCTGTTACAATTAAGAATCACAAACTGACACTTAACGGTGTCATTTATCACAACTAAAATAATTTTCCATAGATATGTTTGAAAAATGTATAAACAATAATCTTCCCCATAAGTACAAATATTTGGAAAGGCAAAATAAATAAAAATATATACATGTATATATTACTTTAATATTTTCTTTTTTTAATTTAAAATATCAGTGAACTAATTAATGAAAACCTCAAATTTTATACTTTTTAACAGAAATCTCTTATTATCTGATAAATAAATAAAATATCTATACAATTATACTACAGAATCTGCTTAGCAAAATGCCTGAAGGATTATACATTTTTGCTTAATTATTTATCTAAAAGGTTTATGTTTTTTTCTGTCGATACTGATAACAGTTCAACTATCATTATCCTTTAAGAGAAACAATATACCAGTTATATTATGTTCCTATCATTTGTCAGTATACAAATGACTTCAGCAACAATAATTATCCAAGATATTTTTTAATATCATTTACTAGATTACAGTCCCTGTGGAATTTTTTTTCAAGATTTTTCTCTAACAGACTTGAAACTGAAAATCTACTCAATTTATAATATTCAACAATACATAAGATGAACAAATAATATTAATATAATAAAACAAATTAAAAGCAAGAGAAATCACCATTACAATAAAAGCATGAGTTCAAATTTAATGTTACATAACTGTGAACATGCAACAAAAAATATTATGAGCTAATACTTTACCAGCTTAGAGTTATAATAAAATTCACTGGTATTTGTGTAATTGCAGTTATTGAGAAGTAATGGAATACAGAAAAAAAATTGATGCACAACACCAGCCTTACAAAAATAATATTACAGATGAATCTAATTACGTTGTGTGAAGGAAAAAATAAACTTATTTAAAATTTCTAACAATAACATACTTATAAACAACAAAAATTACAAGTAACATACATAAAACCTATTTATATAAGATGGAATGTAACTTTTATACAGTTTAAAATATACAATCTCAAAGCTTGTGTACAAAACAAATCAAACCTTAAGTGGGATACATAGAATGATAAAACATGAAATGATGTTTCCTTCTTATAATTTTTTTTTTCTGCTTACATAAAATTGAAAGTTTATAACATAACAGATTGGAACAGATCAATTTCTATCCACAGGGTAAATAGGAATATAGTTGTCAATTTTGGCACGATGTTTCTGGGCAACACATTCAGATATCCATACGATGTTTCTACATTCTTGTTCTTTCAATTTCAAGTAAGAATAAAATACTCCAAAATGAAATTGTTGCAAAAATGCTTGTACATTAAGTTTCACCTAAAACAGAAATATAGTAAAAATAAAATGAATGTTATGAACCCATAAAATAAAAATAATTATTCCAAACTATCTGAGTAGAAACATTTAACTCATGAATTTAGTAGCACTTCATTTCTTATTAATTTATATTTGATTAGATAATGAAAATGTTGCCTGGATTGAATAATGGATGTTTCAATAATAATCTGTTATACAGACCCCTTTTCAATGAATTATTAACATCCGTTGAAACTTCATAAATAGTTTCATCTCATCTTAACTTACAACTATTTTATTTACAAAAACTCTTGGAATTGAGGAGTTTTCAATCTGGAGGGGGGGGGGAAAACAAATTTTGTCTATTTAATTAGGTACTAAAAACTCGGAAATACACATTTGCTTTCTACTTGGATCGTAAGATGATTTGATCACAAAATAGATAAAAAAGATGGCATACAAAAATATTGGGCTGTTTGTCCTATATAACCTCAAAGGCTCAATATTTTTGAAGGCCATATTTTTTATCTATTTGGTGATCAACTTATCTTACAATCCAAGTAGAAAGCAAATGTGTATTTACGAGTTTTTAGTACCTAATTAAATAGACAAAATTTGCCCCCCTCCAGATTGAAAACTCCCCAATTCCAAGAGTTTTCATAAATAAAATAGTTGTAAGTTACGATGAGATGAAACTATTCATGAAGTTTCAGGCGGATATTAATAATTCGATAAAAAGGGGTCTGTACCATGGACTATAACACACAATTAAAATAAAAGGCTATCTAATTAGAATTGAAATTAATTCTGAAGAAATTGCTTCCAACAAATGCAAATTTTAAGAAAGTAATAAATGGTGTATCTGATTTTTTCAGCACAATTCATTCAAATTTCCAAGTTTTGGAGATAGGATTTTTTTTTTGTTTCAAGGCATAATTACAAATGAAAATATTATGGTTGTAGCAAAGTTGGTTTCATAAGTAAAGAGATAGTGTCTTACAAAAAATAAATTAAAATTCTGTGATTTACGTTGATCTTAATTTGGTTCTTACATGAAAAATTGCTAAGATTAAGCAGCAAAAGAAATGAAATGATAAAGAACATTTAAAAATAGACATTTCATTTTTTAAGTAATAAAAAAAGATTCAGATTTAGCTAATGAATTGAAATAATACTGTGCTGGAGAGGTATGATGATGGGAATGAAGGAGTAAGAGCTAAAAAAATTAGCAGAAATAAATTTATGCAAAACACTTATTTTTGGGTCCATGCATACAAGAGTACTGTATAAATATAAAATAACGATCTTCAGGGTGGAGATCATTTTAAGACAATAAACAAGTACCTAACATTTATGTTGGGGCTCTATTGGAGGGCCCTAAAAATATATCAGAAATAAATGAATACAAAAAAATTATTTTAATAACATATTTTAATTATTTTTGTAGGTGATTTAGAAACTTTTCAAATTATTGTAGATATACAATAAAACAATTTGTCCTATCTCGATCCACGACTTAGCACTATCTGATTTTTTAAGTACAGATTTTATTTATTTTAAGAAAATGTTGAATATGATTAGCTAATCCCACACGAAATTCTGAATCCAATCCAATGGTATCCCATTCATGGCGTTTCAGCATGACAGGACCTTATATTTGGTAGACAATGGATTTCAAGTCTTAGTCAAATAATATTTGTGGGAATGCAATGGGATCAAGAGATTTTTAGATTTTTATTGAAGTTAATAATTAGAAGAGTATTTAAATTGTCTTCTGAGCTCATTTCAATAAAGAGAATAATGATCACAAAAAAATAATAAAGAATTAAATTTTTTTATTAAAAAAAAGAAGTTTTTTATAAGGAATCTAGAAACCTTTCAAATTATTAATTATTTTAATTAATACATACTTTTTGAATTATATGCAAATAATGTTTTCTTTTCTTAATAACTGTTTTCCTGCTTTATGTGTTCTAAAAAAAGTTTTTTTAGGAAACCTTTGAGAAACAATACAATTTATTGTAAAAAGACATTAACGAACAAGATCGAAATTTATAGTATTGCATCTTTCACCTTAGAGCAGTCAGCCCTGATGATGGCCTGAACTTCAGATCAAAACGTCGGCATATGCAAAACTAAATATTATGATTTATTTTTGCCTTCTTTTTTGACTGACCACCTCAACTATTCTTCTCTTCAAAACAGAGAGTACAATTTGCTAACTCTCAGTGAAATTCTGAATCCAAGCATGACAGAAGCTTGTATTTGCTACAAAACCGATTTCGAGCCTTAGTGAAATAATATATGTGGGGATGATGCTCCTTTAATTCTAAAAAAAAATTGTTATCTTTCAATATCTATATCAAAATCGTTATGTCTGAAATTATTTTTCAAAGAACCTTTGTGATAGAGACTACACTGCCGAGCTTTATTAGCTAGAAAGAATTTAATGCAGTTAATAAGTAAGAATATTATTGTTCAATTTTTTTTTATATATTTGTAAAACAGCGAATTTCAGATTAAAAAATATCCAATGGTATTCACTTTTCATAGTTCGGCATAGATGTGGTTTTAACTTCATTCAATTAGATTCATTGAATATAGTTTGTTATTTTAGTTGTCACAAAGAGATGATGAAAAAATGTAAGAGATAAAATTATTTATCTTCTAAACTTTTTCTATCTACATTTTTAATCCTAGGCTATTCATTTATATAAAAGCTAATATAACGCATTTCAAACTAAATATTTTTATATGGAGACAAAAGAATGAAAGAAAAACAGGAAGATATTTCTAGGATGAAAGTTTTGAAGATGAAAATCCCTTTACCTAAAAAATTTAACAGATTGAGCTAGGTGATAGCGACATCTGATGTAGTAATGTATTCATTACTTTGAAGTAGCTCCTATCAATGTTGATTATCCTAGTAAATATACCCACAAAAAAAAAAAAAAAACTTTCTGCATTTTTATTGATACAATTTTATCTTCACCTACCCAATTTTATCCTACTGTAAGGCTTTCCAGACGAGGAAAGATCAAAATATGTATAGTAAATCTCCATAACTAGTAAAAAGAAATTCTGAAAATTGATGACTACACGAGGGTGGTAGGTCTGGAAAGTTTTCCGACCTAACAAAAATACAAGAATTTTTTATTTATTTTTCAACATAGTCTCCTTGTAACACTTCTCCCAGCGATGGTCCCATCTCTGTAAGCCGCCCAAAAAGTACTCGACGTTTTTCTCTGCAAAATAATTGTTCACAAAGGTGATTGCCTCTTCATTTGATGGAAATCTCTGTCCTCTGAGCGCAATTTTTAGATCAGGTAACAAAAAGAAGTCGCTAGGGGCTAGATCTGGAGAGTAGGCGGATGGTCAAGCAAACCGTAATTCATGGATTTTCGCCATGGCAACTACTGAGGTGTGAGATGGTGCGTTGTCTTGGTGAAACAGAATTTTCTTTTCCTGAAAGTTCTGCCTTCAGCTTGTCAAGATATGATGCAAAGTATGATCGTGTAATGTTTTTTCTTTTTTGAAGATAGTCGATTAAAATAACTCCATGACTATCCCAAAAACAGTCGCCATCACTTTCCCAAGCTAGAAAACAGTTTTTGCTTTTTTTAGAGCCGGTTTACCTTTTGCAGTCCACTATTTGAATGGAAACTGCGCAACAGCGGGCTGGAAATGTTCAATCGAACACATTTTTGGTCTAACGTGAGCAAACGGAGCACCCAACGTGTAGACAGCTTTCTCATATCTAAATGTTGATTTAACATAAAACAAACACATTCTTTTGACATGTTTATAACCTCTGCTATCTCTTTCACTTTAATTCGGCGGTCATCTAGCACCATTTGGTGAACTTTGGCGATGTTTTTGTTGGTAGTTAAAGTTTTTGGACGTCTTGAACTTTCATCGTCCCAAGCTCTTATGGCAGTGTTTAAATTCAGCTGCCAGTGCAAAATTTCACTATGGTAATTGATAGTGCAGAGTTCCAATACACAAAATCCAACTCATCTTTGATTTGCGTAGGTGTATTGCCTTTCAAAAACAAATATTTATTGACAGCTCGGTACTCGATTTTGTCCATTTTCACAAAAACACTCACATCAACTCATTCAAACGACTGTTGCATAAAAACTCCACATCCAAAATGGCTGAAACTTAGGTGGGTAACTGTCAGCAGACGAACAACAAAATTCACTTTCTTTTATTTACGGGTGCTGCCATCTTCAGGTTGCGGTCGGAAACTTTTCAGACTACCCTCGTACACTAATCGTACATATAAAAAATTAAAAATGAATTCATTGATAGCACCATAAAAATATTGAAATAATACAAATATAAATAAAATTAATACATGCTAAGTGAAAGAATTTGTTTCAATGACAGCAGTTCCTATAAATGAATAACTTTTTCAAAGAATGCTATGAAATGAAATAAAATTCCAAAACAAGTATCAAAAAGTTATACCTCATGTTCAAAAAAGCGATCTTCAAGTGTTTTCTCACCAGGATTATTCCCAGCTCCATCAAACAAAGCATGATATTGCTGTAAAAAAAAAAAAGTAATAATAATTAAATGAGTTATGATAGGAATGACTTTTGATAATTTAATATCATATAATCAAACAAATTCTTTTATATCTACTATTCAATATAAAGTAGGATAAATTTACTATTAAAGAAGTCAAATTACTGAATTGTTAATTATATTTCAATCATAACCTGTACTGAACTTTAAACCTTTATCAATACTTAACTTTTAATTTTTTAAAAATTAATTTGTCTTATAATTTAAAATAAAACTTTTATAAAACCATTAATCGAGGACATGGTAGTTGAGCATATTGGAACCATATCCTTGTACACATAAGTCAAGAGCAGCAGTGGTTCAAATTTTACTAGCACAGTTTAATAATAAATTTTAGCCTTAACAAACCAACTAAAATAAGTTTGTAACCATAGAATAACATGCTCTTCCTATTAAGTTGGTGTGTTACAATGTTAATCCCAATAATCAGGAATGGTAATTAGTTAACAATAAAACAATCACATATATGTTAGACAAATTTAAAAAAATATTTATTAATACTAAAATATTACTTCATATCTAATATTTTAATCAATTGAAGATTTTGGATACCTATTTTTCAAAATATTCTAACTGTCCCTTGATCAGGTCTGTACTGTCTATCTGTTGTTAGTGAGTAATAACCGTTAGCCTTAACTTTTTAGTGACGATGAGCGGGAAGGAAGGAGCAACCTTAAGGACAGCATTAGCTGAACAGTTCTCTGTGCCTCAGTAACGGAATACTTTTCATCACCTCTACTCCCATTTTAGCCTTTTAGGATATCATTTCAAACTTTTTTATTAAACTAGAATTGATAGGGAAACCACAAGATAGTTTGAAAATAGAATTCATCACTGAGCATACAGTCATTTAAAGGGAAAGAGCCCAACAGGCTTTCGACTAATACATATAAGTTCACCATCTCCTGGACCCGGTTCTGTCTGTACTAATATATGAGTCCACTGTCGCCTGGGCCCAATACTATCATAACTCATGTAGGAGTCCACTATCGTTAAAGGGTTGATTGACAGACCATAACAATATCATTAATATTGTTCCTCTGTGATCTGTCATTTTTAAAAAGTTGAGAAAAAAGGCAATTTTAATAACATAGCTTTAATTTAGACCAATTCTAATGATTGTTTTTCATAATTAAATTTGAGCTTCTTTTCAATATAATCATTAGAAACAGTTAAGAGTTGAATCTATGAAACAAAAATTTACTTTTTTTTTTCATTTTCTGAAAATTACAGATGTCTGTCTTTGATATGAGACACTCAAATGTATATTGTTGTCTGTACTTTTATAAGAAAGAATTCTAAATTATATAACGATAAGTAGTTTGAGAAGGAAGAATAATTTTAAATACTAAAATAAATTCATGATATTTACCTTATAATAATCAGCAACAGCTTTAACTTGTTCATAATCATCAGCTCTGGACAGTGCAGAAAGGCCATCAGGGTACAGAATCCCACAGCGCGGATAAAGTTTAGAACGATCATCTTTAGTTAACTCAGTTCCAAAGGAATTGATAGTAATGATAAATGCACGTCTATCAGCTTCAAACTATAACAAGAAAATTAATACCAGATAGAACATTTATTACTGTTAGAATGATTACAATCAAATTACAAAACTTTAACTTGAATTTTGATGAAATTTGAATACAATGAAATTTGTAAAAGACTAAATACATACAGCAAGTATTTCGCACATGGTATCTGCCGTAGTTCCACCCAACTTTTTGCAGAAATCATAAAACGCTTCAAGATAAGCTTTGTATAGTGTGTTTCTTATGATTTCAATATTCATTTCATCAAGATCTTGCTCACTGATACAATCCACAAAGAAAGGAGCTGTACAACAACTAAACATTAATCAGATTCTGATTGTAAAAAAGAAAAAGAAATATCTATGCATGAAATACAATACCCAGTGGAGTGTCGACTAAAACAGCATTATATAGTTCTGCAGGTGTAGCTGCAACATGGATAGCTTCCATTTGCTCAAAGCTACCAAGAGGATGGCACTTAGGAATAAGTTCCGAAATAGGGCGTTGATGTAAGGTACCCGTGATCAAAAGTATAATATTATCAATCATATAACTGTACCTAAAAGAAAAAAACATTGATATTTTTTATTAAGTTTTCAATACCAAATAAACTTTATTACACATATTGTGTTTAACATCAAAGAGTGGGAGAATAATGTCAGAGTCATAATTATACCGGCATCGGGATTCAAATTCATTATCTTCAGTTTATCAGGTTGCCAACGGGCTAACACGTGTTTTCAACTCAACCGCTCGGACTCGCACCACACTCTGTTTCTTCACTACTGTAACTTTCTTCTTAAGGTCTGTAATTTAGTCTTTTGTCACTAATATACTGATGTTTGTTATGTGATAGAACAACGCCCCGTTGTTTTGTAATCTACAAGCCGTTTGTTCCAGTTTTAATAATCAATATAAAGCATTCTACCATTCATGTTGCAATATTGAAATCTTATATAAAATATGTGACTGAGTGCCTATGTATGATGAAAGAACTTTAATGGAAGTGTTCCTAAAGAAAATTGAGCTAGTGTACTATATTATGTTTCATCCAACTCGGGTACTAGTTCACATGAGTTCCGCACAGATTATGCCTGGTTCACAGTCACTTTGGCGACACTTGTTCATAAAATCCCGAAAATAGCCCAATGTTGCCATCTTTTATGATATTAGCTATTGCCACACCCAACCATCTCTTTTCATGCATTTTTGAAAAACCCACATATTCCTATCATGGAACTTCCTAATTAACAAATTATATATTTACTAATTATTAATTTTTATTATAATGATAATTGCTCTGGAAGAAAAACATAAAAAATTATGTTAGAGTCGACCTTCAAGGCCTGTTAAAAAAAATGCTTTTAGGAATAAAATTTTTTATTGACTTGTGCTTGTATGTAGTTGCTATAAATACGCACTATACTATTGAATCTTATCTTTTATACAATAGACGTATAAAAGTTTTTTTTGAACATTTGGATATTAAATGATCAGAAGTTATCTATTTTTATATTGGTTATTCCAGTTTTTTCAATAAAAGTTGGATTAATTGAATTTATAATTTATTTCAGTAAGCCTTTTTAGAAAAGCGCAATCATCTACCTACTTTATATAACGTTTTGGATTTATTCGATATAAGGGTCCACTATTTTCTAGTCTGAGGCACTTTTTTTATGAAAATACTGTAAGATTTGTGATTGAGTATTAAGTTTATGAAACTTATTTGAATTCTTAGTTATAAGAATCCATTATTTTCTAGTCGTCAGAGCTTTTTATGAATATAAAAATTGATGGATTTGAAACATTGCATACAATTTTTGTAGCTTTTTCGATTTCTTAGATATAAGAGTCCACTATTAAGTTTTCAAGGACGCTATTTATGAAAATAATGTCAGCTTAAAGAAAACAGTTGCAAAAATCCATCGAATAACAAATAACCGGTTAAATGTATCTATTAATCGTTATATAGATAAATATTTATTCAAGTAATGTCCAACCCCAATGGGATCCATAGATCTGCCATTTAGTTGGACTACACTGTTAACTTATAATCTATTTTCTCATTGTAATCGTCATTATTTTTACTGAATGAATTAGCTGCTTAATTATTGTTATTCATAGTTATTTTGCTTAATAATCCGAAAATGGATACTTATTATAGTCATTCATAAAAAAAAAAAGAAAAAAAGTGTATATACATATATATATATATATATATATATATATATATATATATATATATATCGTGTTTATTTGGATGTTAATTTTCGAGGAAGGAAGTAACATATTGGAAAACAACTGACGAGGAATATCTGATTATTCCGAGATAACAAATAATGGAAATCATCAATAAGAAAAATAAATTTCACGAAATAACATTCAGAGATTAAGATTTTTATCTATTACTATTTCTTTTCTATACCTGTATAATATATATACACATATACAGCTGTACAAGTTTGATTAAGGTTACATGATGTAGTCTAAATTTTGAATATAAGTCTGCTCCTGCTGTATAACTGACTTTAGAGATCGGTTGCCTTCATTCTCTTTCGTTTAAACACGGATGCATTCAGCACTCCATGAACAAGTGTAACCAAAGTGATTGTTAAGGCGGAACTCATGTGAAATAGTTCGCCAACTGGTTTTAAAAAATACATTTTTCAAAGATCTTTGATAGTATAATAGCATCTAAATCTTTAATACTGTTGAAGAAACAAAATTATTCACTTTTAAGACCAGCTTTAAAAAAACAACAATTGTTAAAGGATACCAATATTAACCAAGGTGACCTCATAAATATTTGGATTATCACCATTGATTAAACTTTTCCTAAACAACATAGAGGCTTAAGAACAAGGTAACATTAAAATTATATTCGGTAACAATTTTACCTTACATTCGCCTGTACTTGGTATGAGTTCACAAGTACCACATCTGGTTCTAAGGTAGTCAAAATCACATTTATCATACTGTAGATGGAATTCTAAAGATAGATGAGTGTTGACAATCATGTTTAACACTTTTGAACTAATATCCCATTTATAAATTAGCATTAAAAATATTTCAAACACTCTTTACTTCAATCTTACTGTAATTATCATTATCGTTACAGGCAGCAATTTAGGTCAAGGTAAAAGGGCCTAACACTGATACTTGAAATTTAACAATCATAGATAAAAAATAAATCTGACCATAAATTAATCCACTTTCACTATTTAAAAAACAAAAGAAACTAGGTAAAATGCAGAAAAGTAATAACAATTTTGAACAAAGAAGTAATTGATAATTTAAACATATTACGTTATAAAATCAAGAAATGTTGAAAGAGGTTCCACAGCTTGATTTCTCATGTGCTGAAATTCAATAACCAGCTTTTCTCTCAGTTTATCATCAATGACAGATACTGACAATGGACTAGGTTCATTGGCCAAAAAACTTCCATAGTCAGTTCCTTGAAGGTGTAGTTTCAAATCTAAAAATAAATCTCGATTTAAATTAACTAAACCTACAAATAGAATAAAACAAAATAAAAACCAACAGCAATTTTACCTTCAAGGGATTCACATTGAACCAGGTTCAAATAATCTGTATTTTTTAAAATACCACATTTAAAACCACGACACAACCCTTCTAAATACCCTCCATCAATATTAAACATAAATCCCATCATATTGTTGAGGGAAATAATAAAACTCACTCAATAACAAACCCTTCCTAGATTAAAAAGGACTCGCCCACTTTTGGAGGATACCCATATGATCGGTTGTTGGAGCAGACGGCAAAGGTGTTCGCATGAATAAGAATAATTAATTGTATTATGTACTTTCGGGAATATAGTTCAAATTTTAATTTTTTAATAAATTCTTCTGAAATTATTTCAATTATTGAGATAATCCTTCAATAATTATTTAATTTATATGAACAATAATTTTAAGAGTTGGTATAATTTTAATTGTTAATGGCTCTACCTAAAATAAAAGTAAAACATTATGTAACATGATTTTTTTAAAATTACTATTAACGTTAATTTTTTATAATTAATGAGTTTCTTTATAATGGAATTTTTGATATCATTGTTGGCTGGACATAGCGTCATATAGTTCAAGATGGCGTTCATGAATGAAGTCTGTTTGTTTTGCTATGTTAAATCGTAACTGTTATAGTTAGTTTTATTTATTGTATGGTTCGAAGCATTTATTCGTTTAAGAATGACGAATTCTTTTGAAATCATTGATTCCATCTTTTCTTGAGTTGTTGTTATTTTCGTTGAAAGTTACTCAACTGCTACTGTGCTACTCCAGTGAAATTATGTCCCAAATTATATTCTGTTATTAATCAATGGATATTCTATTGGATTGCTTGATTAACGCAGAACACTACTACTCCTTCTATAAGGTATTACTTAAGAGTTGTTTAACTGTTTGTTTTTCCTTTTTCTTTCAATCAGCTACTGGTGTTACACTTAGGTGACTCTTAGCTGTTAAGTTATTCTTAATACGAAATTTCATTTAGTCTTAAGCTTATTTTATATTTCTTCTAGCTTATTTAGTTGTTTAATTTATTCTATTTTATTAATTTTCAGGATTTATTCAAAAGTATGTAAAGAGGTAACATTCTACACTCCATGGAGAACTTTTTTCTTAAGAAAAGTTATTCTGAAGTTGGATAGTAGTTACTTTTTCTTCAGGGAAATTAATGGTGTTGACAAAAAGCAGAGCTGCGCCTGTCGCAGGTATGGATGGTCCTGTCAAGAAAAAAGTCAAACGATCTGATGAAGAGAATAATTCAGACTTGGAATCATTACAAAAAAATTTGTTGGGTCAGTGCTTGTGTTCTATGCCTGATAGTGTTCTTAGGAAGCCATTCCGTAGCTTGAAAATATTACATCAAGATGATGGCCACGGTTGTTGTACAGCATATATTGCAAATTGGAGCAGAGATAGGACTCTTTTGTTTTTAAGTTCAGTTCAACTTTTGTGTGAAGTGGCTTTAAAACAAAATGCCCGTGGATTGGTATGTTCAAGGATCAGTGATGTTTGTGATGCTCTTATCAGAAATGAACACGGGTTGGTTGATTACTTAATAGAACTATCTGCCCATTCGGATAGATTTGTTAGTTTCGCTTCGGGTCGTGCCTTATCAGCATTCTTTTTAGTGTCTAGAGCTCATGTAGATCCAAGATGGTTAGATCGCCTAACAGACAATGCCTTGTCCTCATCTTACCCAGAAACAACTCACCCGCAGAAGATGGCCTTTTCTCTGGATGTCATCAAAAGGGTTACTGAATGGAAAGATTGTGAAGAGCACCCTCTAGAAGATAAGGATTGCCAGCCACCTCCATCGTGCCATGTTCTAAGTGTAAGTGATCCTGATAGTTTAGATAGTAGTCAGATCAAGTGCCTTTGTATTAAAGCCCTGGAAGCAAAGTGGCCTGCAGTTGTAAATAGTTTTGATAGAATTTTAAGAATTTATCCTACTCAGCATGAATCTACAGTTGTAACATTTTTGGGCCTTTGGGAGGCAATCATTTCAGTTAAGGCTAATCTCTCAATTGTTGACACAAAACCATTTTATGCCCACTTGGCAAATTTTGTTGCTTTACTGAATGCTAGTGTTTCACCAATAGTTTGGAGGCATATGCTAGATTTGTTTAATGAGGTTTTGTGCTATGGAAGTACCTTAGCCCTTCAAGATATTTTGGCTGAAGAACCATGCTCATTGGCTCATCTTATTGTCAGGAGTGTTAAAGATTGGAGATTGTTGGAAACAATACCATATAGGGGAGGTAGTGGTAGATTTGGAGGTGGAACAGGAGATGGAGACAGACCCCTTCTACAGAAAGCAGTGCTACTGGTTTTGAAAGCTGTTGCTGTAACTGTCAAAGAAACCAGATGTGAGAGTTCAAGTGATAGTTCTGTTGCATCAGAATCTGAAGATGTTGACGCTGACATGGCAGTTATTGAGAGAAGTATTCGAGAGGTTTTAAGACAACTAGATAACTGTGTCAAAGCCCTTCTACCATTTCATCCAGAAACTCCTCTTGCACAGTGGGTTGTTCAATTATTTTCTGATCAAGATGATGCTTTAATTGAAGGAATGGTATGTTGTTTGGATGTGAGTGTAGGCCTTTTCCATAGAGAGAATGCTTCTCAAGATCTTAGAAGAGCACTCAGTCCAGCCATTTCATTGGCTCAATTTCTACGGACTGTGTCCCATGGCTCTGATGTATTATTAGATTATCTTGTGTCTAATGAAACCTGTTTCCTGTTATATTTACTCAGGTTATTAAAATATATTCGCAGAAACTGGATAGAATTTGCAACCACCTGTGGAAATGAACTCAGTGACATAATGAGTGTATTTAGCCGCTTACATTTGGCTATAGAGAGGCTTATTGCACGGTCATTATTTCCTTACAACATCAATCCTGTTTTGCGACTACTTGAAAAATGTGAACAGCTTTATGAAAATATTAATGTTCAACAATTTTAAGGTTTTAAACTCTATTTTATGTAGAGTGTGTTGAGTGCAATTTTAAATCTTAACTAGGTTGTGATAAATAACAATAACTTAATTGTAAGTTAAATAAAATATGGATATAAATATAAATATATCCATATATCAATCTTATTCTTTTCTCTTGGAAAATATAAGGCACCAGTTTATGAGAGCTACTCACAGATTTGGCATGGTTCACAATCACTTTGGTCACATTTGTTCATGGAATGCTGAATGTATCTGGGTTTATCCAAGATAGTACAAAGATGACCGATCTCTTGAGTTCTTGAGTTAGTTACAAATAACTTTTTCCACCATTTAAGTTACATCATGTCATCTTAATTGAGCTTGTACATCTATGATACTGCTGTGGGATAAAATAGTAATAGATGAAAATCTGATTTATTATTACACTCAATGGTTATTTCACAAAATATCTATTTCTTATTGATGATTTCATCATTCAGTATCATGGAATTTTCATATAATATTCGTCAAATGTAATCCTCACCATGTTCATTCCTTTCTCAGAAATTAATATCCATATAAACACATCTTTGTTTTTATGATTTACTACAATCGGTCCTCGTTTTGAGATTGTTAAGAAAATTAACTATGAATAACGTCTCTTGTTGGGCTGAAGCCACCTCTCAAAACAGAACAATAATTTTTGTTTCATTTGTTATACGAGTGATATAAGCGAAAGTCACAATATGTTGTCTTTTTAAATTATAACGTTTATGAGGATATTACATTTAAGCATGTGTCAATAAAAAATATTATTTCTAAAAGCTTTTTTTTTTTTTAATAACAAGATCCAATCAAAACATCATTTTATATATTTTCTTTACTTGTCTTCTAGATTAATTATTGTTATAAAAAAAATAATAGAAATAAAATCCTGATTCCGATTCTGGACCAACTTAATGATGCAACAACTAAACTAAAGACGTATGTGTAGTAATGAACGTGATAATTACTGAGTTACAAAGTTGTTAATAATTTCTTAGTAAGAATGCTCTATGGTGGTGATATGTGAATTTTTCAGAATATCGGTAATTGGGACAAGAGCTGACATCAAAACATTCCACTGTTTTGGCATTTTGTGAACAAATTTTATCAAAGTGGTTATGAACCATGCCTAATCCGTATGGAACTCTCGTGAACTTGTACCAAATATACATAAGATTATGTATCTATTTCTGTTATGTATAATTTATATACATTCTCTTGTGTTTTAATTTATATAACAATTATGTTTAGGCATATATATTTATAAATACTAATTTACTACCTTTTCAGTTTTTTATACTTTGTAAAATTATTTATTATTCAAGTACAATCTTTAAACAATAGTTACCTGCATAATGTAGATGATCAGCTATAGAATGATTGTTGGACCAATTTGAAGACATTGTTACTTGATTATTTTACTCTGTACATAAACTAATTCCATGACGTATTTATTTATAAGACTGTAGGTAAAATTATATATTGAAAAAATGGAAATTTGTAATTATGAAAGTAATATTGTTTTATAATTAAATTTTTTATCTACAATCATTGATTGATTTTTTTTAGTTATTCATTCTACCTTTTTTTTCTTTAACCTAATATTATTAATAAGTTTAAAATTTTAACAAATAATAGATTTTAGATTTCAATGAACAATTAATGGTCAATTCTTTGTATTGTGTTCATATTTATTATTATCATTTTTTTTTTGTTTCTTAAAATATTTTGAATTACTATCTTTTAGAGTAAAGAGTTTTATAAGGAAATTCAATTCAAAATTAATTCATTTTTGCACCCTTACCAAGTTACTAATGTGCAAGTAAATATTTGATATTAATTTGAGGTTGTTTATATAACTAGTCGCCATATTCAAACAAGTTCCATAGTATATTGGTCAATCACTAATTGGTAATAAAATGTGAACATAAGAAAATGCAATAATTTTTGAGAGAGAACTGAAAATATTTTACTTGTTTGATTTTAAACATTCATTATTAAATAGTAGTTCGATTTTGATAAAAAAATTTGTAGCATAGAAAAGACAAAGAATGAATCATAAATTGTAAACTTTTTGAGTATGTGCAAATGAAGTTTTCTTCATAGGTATATGTGCGTGTGTATATATATATACACACATATGCGTACCTGCATATTGTTGGGTGCAGAGAAGGCAGTGTTCAAGGTTTTGATGAAGTATTGCTGGAGGCATAGCCAATTCCTTTGAGAAATAGTTTATTGATATAATATATTACATATGAGTTGGAAAAAAGGAACGGTATTTAGGTAAGGCTTTTCACTTGTTAAAAGGAATCATGAATTACAAAAAATCTACCGGCTCTGGAAAATGTTTTGTTTCTCTGATTCAAATCCTAATAAATATTTTTTATGTCCAGGAAACAAAAAAAATATGGAAATTAATGAATGATTTAAAATCAATATTTAAAAAAGGATTTGTCTTAAGTTTTTTGTTTATGTTTGATTTATAAAAATAAAATAAAAAATCTTCATTTTAATACAGATTTTCCTCTCGGAGTAATTATGTAAAACTTTTATTTCATATCTGAGTTCTTAAATTCTTGAAGGTATGTTAGAATAAACTAAAATTTATTGTTTAATAATTAATGTAGCTCATGGATAGCTAATATTATTAGGGGTCATTGAGTAACATTGCCAATGTAACATAATTGTTCGATTGTTTTGAAGGATGATGAGAATTGTAATTTAAGTATGATTCAAATAGCTAAGTATTGCTTATGTAAAGTTAATTCTTCAGTTTTGAAGATATTAATCATCTTTGAACCATATTCCTATAAAAGGTAAGTTTTATCATAAAATGCCTTGGTTTTAAAACCTGCCAATGAAAATTAATTTTTAAAATTTAAAATGTTTATAAATATTGAAATATATTGTGATGGTGATAAATTTTGATTATATTTTTTCAATTGGAACACATTTTAACGGCTCCCAAGCTAGCTCAAAAATGAAAAGTCGCACGAAACTGAAATTACTTATATAAAGTAAGTATATGCCTGAATGTTAAAATATTTCCCCTAAAAATTGATTTTCCTCAAAAATGGCTCTATGGATTTTGATATAACAACTTACAATGTACAATAAAATGGTCATTAATATTTGCCAGGTCTTATTCTCGTTGATATCTGACAGTTCAAATATTGAATTTTTAAAATGTTTGGCAAACTGAGCAGAGATATACCTCGATGATAATTGCAATCTCTATTTCTCCTTTCTTGTACATAGGCACAACCACAGCGATCTCTCTGTCCTTGGTATTTTTTTCTTTTATGCCATATCAGGTTTCACAGATGTAGAAACATTTCTTCACATTTTCTACCGACACAACACTTAATTTTGGGAGTTATTTTATCTAGCCCTGCAGACTTTCCAAGCTTCATCTTTGAGATTGTATCCTGCAGTTCTTCCTCACTGATGAAGTCTTCTTCCAAATCCGCCCCCGCATTGTGGGTCTCATCCAGTCTAACATCTCCTCCTTCCAGCAGTCCCTTGAAATAATCTCTCCATCTTTCCCTTATATCTTCTTTCTGCCATTAAATCCTTCCATCTTTATCCTTGATTCCTTTGGGGGAATTCAGCATTTCCTTCCTCATTACTTGTATAACTTTGTAGAAGATCTTCTGGTTTTCATTTGCATTTTTCTCCATTTTTTGACCCTCAAGGATGATTTTCTTGAAAGATGACCAGTTCTGCTCTACATTACAACCATCCAATGAGTGGTCAGACTTTCATGGCATTCTGTTTATTTCTTTTTGGAAGTATTGAGCCATTTCTTTTCCTTTCAGCTTATAGGACTTAATTATCTTCTTTGTACCTTTCTTATGCATTCTCTGAGGAGTTTCTTCGTTCCATAGTTTGTCCAGCATTAAGAGATAGTGATCGCTTCCAATCTCATATTATTCTTTGACTCTAGACTCCATTACTTCGCCAACCTCTTCTTTTCTTAGCAGAAAATAATCTATTATAAATTTTTCACTTCTTCCTGGCTCCTATCTGATGAATCTATGGATTTCTCTATGTGGAAAGAGAATGTTCATGATTTTCAATACAAAAATTGAGAATTCTTTCTCTGTTATTGTTAATGCTTTCGTCGAACTTCCCTAGGACTTCATCCCACTTCCATCTCTATTTTGTGTATATTGATACATTTGCTCATTTATCTTTTTTACATTATTTTAACTTTTTATTCTCTTATACGTAGTCAGTATGTTTTGATAAATTTTACAATATTTCAATTTTCTTATATATCTATTTTATATCTATTATTTCCATATATAACTTTGTATTCCTTTTCTCTGTTTTACATTTTATTCTATGATTTTCTCACTTTCCTTGTAGCATACTATTACATCATATTTTAGCAACTATGTCACACCATTCATTTTTTGTCTACACTTAAGTTTATTATCTTATAAATTCCACTACTTTTCATTGTTAACACAGTTTTCATTTCTTTTATTATCTTATTTTGACTATGTTTATATCATTAGTCCCTACTTTGTTGCTGTTATTATTTATTTATTAGTTCTCTGTTACTGTTATTATTCTACCTACTTTATTTTACTTTAAGTTCACTCTATCTACTTTATTTTACTTTAAGTTTATTCTACCTTTTTATTTTTAATTCTTTATTATTCAATGTTTATAGTTTCTCATACCTATTGTTATCTGATTTTTTCTTAGCCCTGATGAAGTCCTTAACTTTGGGCTGAAACATCAGAAAATAAAAATAAATATACTTATTTATTTTTACTAATCACCCCAACCATTCTTCTCTTCAATTATTCAGTCAACCATCAATCCACAATAAATCATCCCACTTATCCTTCTCACAGCCTACCCTGCCATTTAGATCTCCAAAAATCATTTGGGGGGTTCCTTCGCAATCATCAAATTCCCTTTGTAAGTCATTGAAGAACTTTTCTTTTTCATCCTGTCTAGCATTATCATTAAGACCACATGCTACTATAAGTGAATGGATTTTCTCACCTTCCAATATATCTAGAACCATTAGTCTATCATTAACATAATTAAAACTGCTGACAGACAAGAGTCAATCATTATTGAAAAGGGGCAATCATTATGATACATAAATCCCCCATTGTATATAATCTACAATTTTTCTGATTCCACCTCAGCTTGCTCTGTTTTTAAGAAAAGTTGAACAATAAAATATGCTTTATATTTGACAAAAGAATGGAATATATTTAATATAAAAATATATAAATTTTGTAGTTTTTTTTTTCATATCGCCAATTCACAATAATTTTAATAATGTGAATTCTTCTTTTCTGCTGGAAATTTAAACTTAAATTTAAGTTTTGAAGATGGGAATAATTTTCCCGAAACGTCAACTTGACATGTAATTCAACAAATAAACCAATTGTTTGTATACCTGAAAGTTTATGTTGAAAAAAACAAAGAAGTTTAATAATGTGAGTTTGGTGCTTTTAATGCTTTTTTCTAAATTAATACCTTAAAGGAGGGAGTTAAGAGTCGCCTGGGAAACTTGCAGGGAAGCAAAACCATTGTTACTGCTATGTAGGGTCGGCCCCAGATTCAAGAACCTAGCTTTCCCATGAGATAAAATAGCCAAAACAGCAAAAAAAAACATCAATTTGGTGACCAACCAAATTAATCAAGATTTAGGAGAAGATTCTTCAAGTGGTACAATTCAAATGAGTAGTGATACTCCTTCGACAAGTTCTACTCTAGTAACGAAGAGGCTCGCTGTATTCAATACATATAGACGAATTGCAGCTAACTATAAGCCAGCTGGGACCCTAATGTCAAGGGTCATCACAGGGGTACAATAGTATCTTGAGGAACCACTACCAAGTGAAAATATTGACCCACTGAAATGGTGGAGGGAACATTGTTATAATTTCCTGTATTTACCAAAAATTGTTAGGCAAAAGTTTTGCACTGTATTTAACGTCAGTGCCGTGTGAAAGAGTTTTTTCTAAAGCCAGTAATATTTTAAATGAAAGGAGGACTCGGCTGTTTTCAGAAAAAGTTAAAAGGATTGTTTTTTAAAAATATAATACATAAGTTGATTGTGTTGAATTGCTTATTATTAATAAAAGAAAACCTATTTATTTTTTGTTAATATTTTTAGTCTAGTGTGGCTTTTAAATTAATTATTATATCTTACGGTACTTTTGTTTTATTTAAAATATATTCTCATAAGCTATTTGCAACACTTAATCCTAAGAGTTGTTTAAAATTATCATGTTGAAAAATTAAAAGTTCTATTATTAAAGTAAGATACCTATTTAATACATATATTATGTAATCTTGTAACTAATTTAAATCTTCACTTAAATAAAAATATATGTGTAAATAATACTGACCTAAATATGTTCCTGTGTGAATAGTTATTTTAATTAAATTTTATTTGTTGTCTAATTTTGTTTTATCAAATATATATTATGTTTGTTATACCTAGCTAAAAAGATTTTTTGTTAAATTGTTACAAAATAACACAAAAAATGGGTGAGACACATCACCACAAAAAA